TCACATATTGATTGGAAACAGAACAGTCGTTTTTCTGACCATGCTGAATTTCATCTTTTCTAGTCAATATGAGAAGCTGTCCACACGCCGTAAAACACAACTCGTTATCTTGAATACATCTAATTAGTTTCAACAGTATTAAGTTTAATTTCACTCACATAATCGCACTGATACAGTTAACATTGTACAATCTGGTGAGATTTGGAAACACGGCCAATTTACCAATGCATGAACGCGAACACAGAGATAGGCGAGTAAGAAACAGAATTCTCTTTACATCAGCTGGGTAATTTTAGATATTTTTACTGGATTTGATTAACTAATTGTTATGACGGTTGTGACTATTGATGTCAACCCTTACCACTTGAACAAAACAAAACTGAACCTACACCTGCAATCTAATCTACAGACGTCACCAATGCCAACGAATAAAAATGTCAGTTTATGTAATAAGAGTGGTGTCGTTATCAACATATATTGACTTTATATCTTATCAGGATAATTTTGGATTTGCTTAATTGATATCCATGACTGTTTATTGAAAACTTTTCATTTTATTCGAAAAAAAAAACTTGCATGTAATACTATTGAAAACATATGTATCATTAATTGTTTTCAATAACGAATGTTTTCATTAAAAATATGAAACGATATTAAAGTCAATGAACAAAATGATAAATAACCATCTATACTGGAAGACATTGATTATTCACGGCTGCGACAGATCATTTCTGCGACATTTTCCTTATCGTGTTCGTCACTGTACAAATTATACAAATTTGTTATGAACGTACGTTTTATTTCCAAACGATCGATAATAAAAAAAAAACACTTTCCTAAAGAAGAAAAAAAATCTTTTAAAAGATTTTACTTTATAAACCACAAGTTTAACAATCACAACTCACCAGAGGAATGATATAAATTACAGGATTTTGCTTTTAAAATCCATACTCGTTACCGTTACCTGTAATTATACAACATATCAATGATGTAATACGTTTTCTCCGTCGTCTAATCATTACTGAAAACGAAGACACACCGTAATATATGCAGAAGAACTATTGTTCATGACTTCAGTTGACTGGATGTTGTTTAGAAATCCCTTTTTTCCATGGTCATCGTTCTTCTGGGTATCACAAAGCATTTCACAAAGCGGGCAACGCAAACAAAATCCTCTGTGTCAACTCTACACAAAAACACATGTATTGTCTGCATGCATCAGTTCAATCCCAAACATGAAATACAAACATGAAACAAATTTCCAAACTTTGCACCTGTTAACAAATATATCATTTGAAGGCTTGATTCTTTCATTGTGTCTACTATTCTGTGTGACCATGATGAATGCATTCAACCCCGCAACATGTAGGTCGACAGGAGTATCCGTGGCCATGTTCGTGGTGACAATATGAATCACTGATGCAGCCCACGTGCCAACTGCAATGACAGCCACCAAACATGTCCTCGCCCCATCTTTTCACCAAGCTTTTGAGTATGCGCCCACCATGCTGGTGCGAGTCGTCGGCCTCTTTCTCCCCAATGACATCTTAACAAACAGAAAGAAGGTTAAAACATAAGATCGACGTTTATGTATTAAAGATATTGGGATCTTGAACATAGTTGATTGCGATTTTTCGTTTCATACAGCCTGTTTTAACTATAACACAAAGTTCAAGTTTAGACAATTTAGATGTCTGCAGTTAATCAGATTGAGTTTTGTATTAGGGGCCATTCTCCCCTACTATATATTATAAAAACTGAAAATGCAAACAAAAAGATATTTTTTAGTCTCTTCAACATTTGTATCGCTATAGAAATTCAGAAATATACTCCTGCATATTTTCTCAAAAAATATTATAGTTATGTAAGCATTTTACGTGCTTTTATAGCAGACGCGATACCGCGGTATCAGAAAATAGCTTGTCATAAAAATTCAGTTATATATTTAAAATAACTGTCATACTTACTTCTGTCCATGACTGCTGATACAAGGATGCACATCACAGCACAAATTACCAGTGAAGTTGTGAAAGCAGCCATGTTGTATGTTATTCCAAATACTTCTAATTCATCGGAAATAAATTATTACTTAATGCTAAAATTCGGTATTGTTGACAGCTAGAAATCCACGTGTGTCATTTGTTGGAACTTTGCAATTGCCCACGTTAGTGTATTACAAGACACTTGCACGTTGGAATCTGAATATCGGGTACGGAAGTGTGAAGAACCTTGGCGTAGAGCCGATTTTATTCGAAACGAATGGTATCATGTGACTTTCACAGCATACGTCAAATGTATCCTTGTGTTTTGTAACCCTTATCTAAGTTCACGTATGGCTTGTGGTCTGTTCCAAATACAGGGTACTGGGTCATACGCGAATTTCACTCCATATCACAAGAAATGCCATTTTGTAAATATTTACATTAAAAATCACGTGACGCCACCGAATTCCAGCACATCAGAACCGTTGTAATTTACGCACTTGGTGACAAAACAATTAGTCTCTTAACGTACAAAGCGACTGATCATGATAACGTCAGAATCAAATGAGGAAAAGGTTCAAGTTTTATCTAACTGTTTCATGGTTATGTCGGGTGGAAGTGGAAACCAGGTCAGTCACGCTCGTTCGCTCAATCGTTGTTTTGATTTTAACGCCTAGTCCGTCACAAGTCACACGATTACCTAATTGAAAACAGATTGAAGTAGTACCTGGTATTATAATTGATCCCCAAATATTCTTTTCGCGAAATAAGTCATGATTATCCCAGCAGAGCACGGAAATAAACTTAAAGGTGAATAGTTAAACATGTTTCAGGTTGAGATAAAAAAAAAAAAAAAAAACACCAAAAAAAAATAAAAAAAAAAAAACAAAAAATCCAAATACTTCGCAGACGTCCCTATGATATCAATATCTTACAGTCATCGTATCCAAGGAAGCGGTATTCGTTTGAGTTTATGTCTTGCTTGGAATGTAATATGGGTAGCCTGAGATATGAAACTTGCCAAACCTCCTCGAGTTGTGCTATGTGACAGTGTATGTAAATCAACAATGTAACGCTGTAGAACTATGCAAATGCGAAATCTATGTACTCGCTGAAAACTCAAAGATGATAAAGAACTTGAACTTGAACTTGACACTCCGTTCCAGAGGGCAGGCCTGACTCTGACCGAGTCGTACCAGTGGCCTGAGTCGTACCAGTGACAAAGATAACACAAGACACCCCCTCTCGTGTCTCTAAACCTGTAACCAAACCAATCACACCGGTCATCGTTTCAGAATTGACCGGCCGAAGTGAAACCTGTATTTTATTAGAGTGCACTCACCTGAGGACGCCGAAGTGGGGTGAAGATGATCATTACTATAAAGTTTACGTCCTTAAATAAGATATCATAAAAGTAAAAACACAGCAAACTTGCTACAGTCTGTCACATTCCCTGTAATAAGTACATGTGCACTAAACACTAGTCACAACAAATGGTACTATGAAACACCTTAAACATGCTATATGAGGTTTCTCGATCTTGATCGTTTAAACGCTTCACCAGTAAAACACAAGAAAAGTGATGACCTGGCGTAGATTTGATTATCTTCTGATAAAATAGCGGGAAAAAAGTAGCAGAAACAATACAAATTGAACAAGGTAGGACTTGTATTGTGATTTATTTATTGATTTGGTGTGTTGTTTTCCTTCAAAACGCATGATTCATTTAATGTAACGTAAAGACATGTTTTGTAAATTTCATCCGGCCAACAATGTATCTTTCTAGATATCTCTTCAACATCTATTTCCAGGTTCTTCATATACCCGGAGGTGAAAATAAAAGCGACATGTTCCTATATTCATATATACATATAGATGATTCTATTTTTGACATCAATAAATATTCATTTGATGGGTTTTACGCTCACTATTACGGCTCTTTGGTCTTTCAGCGGACGAGAAAAGATAGGCAAATGAGTAGAGAGAATGTAGTATAAAGAATTAGTAGGGAATGGGATATAGAGATGAGGTAGAGACGAGACGTAGATACAGTTAAATCTGTTATTTCTCTATAACTTTGAAGACGTCTGCCTTGATAGCCCTAGCCGAACTCCGACTAGGTACGGGCCATCATTTTAAGTCCTATCCGACAGGCATTATGTTAGTTATTTGTTAATAAGGTGTTCGTCCTGATATATTTTTGATAACCGGGTTGACAGGTTGCATGCCCTGTTATACCCTTGAATGCTCGTACACGTTTCAAAGCTTGGACTAAACGTTTTCTACTTCATCACATACGATAACCGGATGATATTGTTATCATGGGGAAGGGGTCATAAGTTTTTAAAACTCGTATTGTCAGCATTTCCCATCTTGATATGCGGATACTGAATTTGTTTTCGTTTGTTTTGTTGTTTGTTTTTGTTACCTTCGAATTTGGTCAGTTTGAACCTGTGCGAGTTCCTTCTGTAAACATAATGTGAGGATCCAGATGAAATGCCAACAGGTAGGAATAATGACTCGAACAATGGACCAAGCAGGTCAATGTTGTACTGGACAATAGGATACAATCTACATAAATTACTGAACGAGTTATTTATCTAAATGAGTCATGATTTAATGACATTAAAGTGATATTACACTACAATCTCTACACCATCAATTCAGGTTTTGTTATAGTTTTAATCTATACATAGACATAGTTTAGCATTTTATACTGACGCTTTATGCATTTAAATAACTTTATAGTTTGAAATAAATAGTTTTGTAGTTCAAAATAAAATGCATTCCTCGTCCTTTTTTCTTAGTATAGAATATATCTAAAGTCTTGTATTTATGAGCATGTTCACATCATCTCTCTCTCCATACATCTAATCCTCCTCCCACTACACACACGCTCCCACTACGTACCCCCTCCAGACATCTCCACGGGTTTTCCCATAGATCTACAGACGGTTGCTACGCATATGTAACCCAACACTACAGCTTCAGTAGCCAAGCCTGAAAACGTTCCCAAGATGGCGGCGGACGTTGTTCATATACGATGCCGGAAGACGAATGTTTTTGTTTTGAAATTTATTCGGACCAGCGATAAGGTAAGTACATTTTAGACAATGTGATTTGTTTTATGACTCTGCGCATAGCGTAGACACAGATCTATTGTCTTAGTTTACGTGAAACCCTATTGTTTCGAAGTTGTATGAACTTAATACAGTCTTATCTTAATAGTTTAAAATTAGGGGATAATTACCACTGCTCACGTCAAACAAACACACATAAGTCCCGCAAGTCGAGATCGTGAAAAGTGTAGCGTAAAAACATCTAGATGATGATGCATTGATACGTGTAAATACAATCAGGTATTGGACTTGGCCCTTCGCTCGGAAGGCGATCAGTGTGGTGCATACAAGTGCATATGTGGCCTTACTTAGTGTTCCTATAAACAACACAGACTATAACTTAAGGACCAGGCACCCATCAATCACGATCTGTATTGTACCAATAGATGTGCACCTGTCTTCACCTGTTGTCGCGTGGACTTACTGTAAACACCGTCTCGAGAAGTCAAACATTCACAAGACATAGATGAGTTTGGTCCTATTCGGCAAAACATTAATTCTCTTCTGTTCCAAGTAAGTAATAGAAATTCATAACTTCAAATAATGTTACCAATGTGAAAACATGAAAGTATGACTTTGCTGATGATGTGTCATGTTTGTGTGATGATTTTATTATGATTACTCTATATAGGTTTAATGATAAACCAGGCATGGTACACAAATGTTATGATAATATCTTCTAGAAATGATGAAATTCTCTATTCGTTCATATCATTTGTTTATTTATTCGTTTATTTAATGAACTTACGGTCTCTCGGCTGACGAAAACGGACGGGAAGAGTGAAAGTAGATAGTGAGAGCAGAAGGGTTAGATAGAGATGGGGTCGACTTAACTATTTTATTCTGTATCGGGTCATATATTAACAAGACAATCAAAAATATTGCTTCGTTTTAAAGTACCTTGTAATCATCAGTTTTCATTCTATATCAAACTGTAATATCAAACTGTAATCATCATTAATAACACTGTTCTGACCCCACCCTGCCCCACTCTTATCTCAGGTCATCGCGCATTAGATCAGAAATGGTGGCACTGATACCCATTATAATTATCCTTCTTGGGTGTCTCATTACGGATCACACCAATTAAAATGTTCAACACCCCCAAATGTCGATAATGTTCATTCTTAGTTATCCCAAGAGAAGTTAGTTATAGTCCCATGTAAGAGGATATGGCGATTGTCGAAGCACACGTGAAGAGATTTGATGTGCCACATAGTGGACATGTATATTAATTCATAATATATAAATTACCTCCCTTGATTACTCTCACAGAATGCCGTGAATTGAAACAAATTACGCTAAACACAGTACACCTTTGTGTAGTTTTATATCATATACATCGTATCCGGCGACATGACGTCACATTTGCCCCCGGGCTGCATGTCATCCATCAACTCTGAATAGAGTGTCGCCGTTACAGGAGCAGCATTGATATTGTCTCCAGTAATTCATAAGTCAGGGATAGGGGACTTTGTTATGGATATCTGTCTTAATTAAAATTCACAAAATCAATGGGGCCAGACATTCCTAGGTCGTAGAACAAATCGCAGGTTAATAATCATATCATAAGGGATGTGCTTATATGTCTAATTCTTTGATAATTGATAGATAATTTGAAAGATAATCGGTATGTGGTGAATTTGTTACTATCTTCCCGTTTAATTTCATATAATAAAACGAGATGCTTGATAAAATAAACACCTGTCTTACGCCTGATAATCTAACATTTGTAGATATATCAGATTCTGTGTAGTCCTCTTCTGTCGAAAATACACGTGTAGGTCACATGGCATGTTATATGTCTCAATCATTATTTGAAACATTTTTCATCGAATACACGACCTAAGCAGGAGCAACTCTCAGAAAAGTGACAATATATGAAAGAAAAAAAAAAGAAAAATTAATTTTTTGAAGAAAATAACATTTTAAACCAGAAAAATCCCAAATCCTATGTTATCACGTAATCTTTAAAAACACAGTTTAAAGAACGCATATCTTGTGATATATAACGTCTTTTTTATTTTGACAAAGCAGTTTTATTCTGCAAAATTCGGCATATCTTATTTCATGAATAGTCCATCCGACAAAAAAAACAATAAAGAAGGAAATGAATCCTTCACCGAACCCCTAAATGTTTTTTATTTGTAAAACGACGTTAACGGCGAATAGAAAGGTTAATGTGTGTCGTATACATACATGTACAGCCATTAGCCATCTTGTGCGATTTGATTGACAGGGTCTCGTGCGTCTCGCGTCAGATTATAATACCTACTTTATATATACATGCTTTTCTCCCGTTTAAACGGTGACAGAACGTCGTGAACGTCCCTTTCCAACTACGGTGAGCTATATGGACCATATCACAAGGTGAACTCGGTGAAATGTCTTGTTTTCTGTCAAAATTTACAAGTTCAGAATTTAATCAATCAATTTTTTTCTTTCTTTCTTTTTTGAATTACTGGTTGTTTATTACGAAATCAGAGTGATTTATAATGGTCAAATTATAACCAATTTTTTAACTTGATCATATCCTTTTTACAAAATGATCATGATTCTCGTTGGCCCGACCGTGTCACCGTACACATCTATCATGAATGATATAGAGACAATGTATGCATGTGTGGAAAATGAAAATTTGTCATGGAATTCGTTGTCGCAATAGGCTGAAGACAAACTAGTCTTTACAATTTAGTGGCAGCAATTTCGGGTAATTCATTGAATCAAGCTACCGTAACACGTTGCTCATTTGAAATTAATGTTTTAACGGACATAACTCAAGCGTGACCGACAGAACTGTGGTGTTTCTTAACGGAGTTAATTCAGACAGGTAAGGTACATCATAACGCATACAGCGATTTTATTTTTCGAGGAAGCAGATCAGAAAGCATTTCCGTCTTTATTTATTTCAGAAAAATGTCCAATTGATCATGTTATATATGTGTAATTAGTTTAGTTTAAGCAAATTCTTATTCAATTATTAACAAAGAAATCATACAATCTATAAATATGCCTTCTCATTACCAATATTTTTGAAGGACCGTAAAGAGGAATTTCATTACATCAAGTTGTCGACCTGGTTACAATGGTAACAAGTCAATTCGTACTTGCTATTATCAGAATATTGCTAAGTCTAGCCATTTTTTTCTGTGGGATTGTAGATCTACTGCATTAACAGGGGACTGTTAATTTGTTGCACAAATAACGTTAATGAAATACATCAATCTTAAGAAAAATAGCTCTGTAGACATCCACGTGAAGTAACTCATTAAAATTGACTTAGACATGCAATCGTAACATTCCATGAATGTCCTTGCTCTTTCGTGATAGATATATCATGATTTCCCACTAAATATTGCGTACATGACAGGAAATATTTGTAGACTATAAATACATATACATATTGAATATTATTTGACACCAAACCTACGTATACATGTCTCCAGTACTAACAGTCGGCCTATCTTTATTACTATAACATCTAGTAAGTGTTTACCACATAGAGTACCAGTCGGGGCTAAACTATAAACATTTCTGACACCTTATTATACGTTTTTATTGTGAATTATGGGGCTTCGCGTGTTCACTATTCTCTCATTCATGGACTACTCACTGATATCTATGTAGGCCTTCTCAGGCCGACAATTATGACCAATGTTTTATGATATCTTTCACGTGGTAGATTAGTATTCAGCTGTGACAAATTATTCACGAAATTAAGTAACAAACAGACATTGTAATAAACCGTATCTATGCTGAAAGTCATGTCTACCTTGTAGAATATTTTGATTTATTATATACCAGGTAAAAATATATGATGAAGTCCTGTAACAGGACTTGTACGTGTGTAAATAATGCGGTGCACGTTTTATATATATAAAAACGTAATTAGTTTTTGATGGAATATGAAGAGGACGTGTTCCACTATATACACACACACATCTAATACAAGCAATTAATGGCGACATGTATATTACTTTTACTACTTAGTCGGTGTCTACATGACAACGATGGCCAAATTAATGCACACAAGGCAAAAAATACATATGCATTTTTTTACAATATATCCAGAATCTTGATGAGTGTAAAAATGCCTCGTAAAGAAATAAACGCCTATAAAATCAGAAGTTTACGAGATTTCAGAATATCATTAGATATTTTTGATATGCTGTTGTAAAATTTGTTAATGAATTATACACAAAAAAAGAAAAGAAGGAAACACTCCTCAACAGAACGCCGAGTTAATGTGGCACGTGTCTCATTTTTTATCAGAAATTAATCGTGTATGTAAAGAGGAATTAATGTCTTCATATTGTTTTCGAAAAGAAATTACAGACAAAATAATTATCATTATATATACGATGAACAATAATATTTATCTGTAAATGTCATCTGTAAATTTGAAGTTGAAGTAATTTGTTTGTGATGAGGTGAAAAGTCCTGATAAAGTCAGGGTCATATAAATACTGAACGTAATATATCGAACAATAAAAAAATCAATATTAATTAATGAAAAATCGATTTTAATCAATATTTTTACCTGTGACGTTAGAATGATTATTAACAACATTTTCTGTATTAAAAAATAAAATAGAATAGAAAGTCTATAAAATATATGTTGCGATATCCATTGACAAAATACGTCCAATTTCTTACAACTGCTATGGTAACAAATGTAGCTGTTGTAACAAATAGGCACGCTACAGAGGTGCTCTATCTCAATAATTCAATAAATTTCGTAATTTCCATATATCTGAGGATTTTAGAACAAAGGCTGTGCATTCTGAAGTATTTGAATGAATTAAAACGTGGTATGCAGTTCGCAGTTCGAATTTGAAATTTGGATTTTGATATCAGAAAGCATGTCCCTATCATGATTGATTTATGTGATACTAATGCATAGCGACAGGGAATACACGAGATGTTTTAGGATGTTGTATATAGTAATTGCTTGCAGTGGTGATAGACTATGCGATAAATTATATGTTACCTGTCAAGTAATATGGATTCCACCTGGTATCAAATTCACTTGATCAACGTAATGGTCATACATTAAGGAACGCCCGTCCTCCGCGTGGTTTAATGACATCAGAATTAAGCGGTTTTAAGAGAAAAATATTACATTGATTCATAAATAATTGAAGATTGTACAATTTGGATTTAGTTTTCAAAACATATACTCAGTGAATCATCATATAAAAATATCAGACTTGTTTATTTTTAATTTCGTTTTCCGATATCATATCCAAATGTAAGCGGCTGCTCAAGGTCAGTTTACAATGAATGATGTCTTTGATCGGGATCAATGCTGTATACAACATGTGCCATTTCATACCACGACTTTGTAGTTAAGATGTCTCCACCCCATCTCCCTCCATCTCTGCACGTTTCTTCCTTTAATGTGTAAATAAATTTAACTTTATATGTGTACCATTCCCGTCATATCACCGCTTGTTATACAAGGAGAGGGATTGACATTAGTAATCTGTAAATATTTTTTAACCTTGATTGTATATCAAATATTTTATATGTATAACTTTCTTGATCAGTAGATGTTAAGACCAACGATAATTTAAAAGTTCAACGTTAAGTCAGGTAACATGTAATATGAGACCACCTCTACAGCGACTGAACCCTCATATCAGATGTAAATATATACTGTAGCTGTACATAGTACAAAAACATATATATATCAATGTATAATTGACAAGTCTAAAGAATAATAAGATTATGAATATTAAAAGAGGAAATTTCTTTATTGTTCTTGAAAAAAAATTCTAGGACTAAAGGAGAACGAAACAGTATGTTCTGTTTTAATATTATGAAACTATGACGGTTTTCCTGGCGATATTTCGTGGGCCGCTCCGTAAATTTATGGTTCCCTTCCTTATATTCCAGTACAAGAGCATGTGTTGTACAAAATATTGGCAATCCCTAATGGTCATGAGATCATGTGACGATAAATAGGTATACAATTTATATTAAATTATATATTTTTGTGGAGTCGTCATCGCGTTAAACCTGGTTAGGGTGAAACATGGACACGTCTCTGTTAGTTTTATTGGCTTAACATTCTTACGTTGATCCATAAAACTCTTAAGAAATTAATGAGGAAGTGCGATCATATATCATTGTTATAATTTCTCGTTCACTTTATGATTAAATTGAATTTCATTATTCAGAAATTTATTGACATGCCTATAAGCCGGTCAGTTGGTTTTTATCAACCTCTAGACCATCAACACCAAACACACTGAGTTGATGTCAACCTATAAATCACACTAGTCAATAAAGACCTCGGTAGTGACAGCCAGACTCATCGTTGTAAACACGCCAGCCATTGTTCTGTGTAGTCACCGCCTCATATGCAACTTTATGCAATGTCACTCATTTACTCACTCACTCAATCACTTAACTTGATTGCTAAACTATTCTCTTCTTAATGTCGCTCAATAATTGTCGTCTTGATGGAAGAGATTTCTATATTTGGACACACTGAACTGTGTACACAAATAAATATGACTTAGTGACTGTTTGTAGGCATTTTTTTCTTGTTTTAAGAACGAACCACAATTAAAGGAAAAAGAATGAAATCCGTTACATGTATCAACCAAGAATTAGTTGTCTATTGTAATACTGTTTAATGCTGTTCCATATATTGGTCGTTCTTGAGGAATTTACTATAAATGAAATTGCATGTTATTCGATCAATGAAATGAAAATGACAGTACAAACAAGCCAAATTGTCAAAGGCAATCAACTTCTTTATCCAGACACAATATATTACACAAGTTGCATCACATGCATATAACATTAAACAAAGACAGTGTTACAAACTTAATGGAGAGTGATTATACAACATGTCCTTATAATCTCTTTGGCCTGCTAGACGTTGGTCCTTTATAAGGAGCGAAAACCATCTTAAGGTGATGTTTGAGGGATATTAGTGTCAATTCTGAAGTAAAATCTCAGCATGGTGTGTACGATAGCCACTTAACATATACACTGAATGTCATCGTAGAACAAAAGATGTTTCGTGTCAGACCCGGGAAAATGTGTCGGTACATTTCGTTCCCATTCTAAGATTGTACAAAAGACACGCTAGTGAATAGCATCTTCTAATGACTTAGTTAGATACAGCAGAGCCAAACAATGAGGTTATCTGCATCATACAGTTGATTCGTCCTTCTAGGACTTATCAGTGATGGTAAGAGCCTAAATTTTGAAGCCTAGGTGGCGACTGAGGAAAATCAACAGTGATCGGAAGAAAAGTTAAAATCCAGACGGGGAGGTGCAGCAGCCTCATAATTAATAGCGTCAAGTCCATAAATAAGACTTTGAGTGTTGAAAAAAATATTGTTAAGAGCTAAATGAATATATTTACAGGTAGAGTAGAAATATTTTGTGATTGAAATCACCTGTTAAATACATAAACACACTGGATGGTTAAACAAACTAGTCGATCCGCCATCTTCAGAGAAGTTTCGAGTTCCAGATCCATCTATTAATGAGTGTAATTCTCTACCGAGGTAAATATACCACACACAAGAACGACCGTACCAGGTGTAATCTACCTAGTCTTACAATATACCACACTTTCGATAAGAATCAATGTAACAAAATCCAAGTTAGCAACCACATAACTCTCTTTCACTACAGTGTTTGCTTTTCGCGATAAAATGGCGACAGGAGTGAATATAATCGTAGCGATATATTAAATCTATGTCTTTATTGCAGATTGGCGGACAGGTAAGACAGTGATAGGGTCACCCACGTGGTGGGATGTGGACAGGTGAGGAGCGGCCCCGGATAGTACGGACCACGTGCATTATAATGGTCGTCTGGACACCGGAATGCTGCCAACACCGATCAGCATTACTGTAACAAGAACTACTTGACATTGTTTTAATTCAAAAGATACTAGTGGACTGATATTACATAGTTATCCATTGATATCAATTACAGGCTAAGAGCGTGGGATTTATACTCTGGATCTTTCTAAAAGTGTTTTCTCATTTGAAAACACGATCAATTTATATGTCGAGGATATTTCACCATGTAATGAAACTAAAAGCAGAGATACAGATAACTTAGTTAACTGTGACATACTGGTTCTAAACTAGAACTGTTCCCGCCATGCAATGTACCAATTTATCGTACATCATAACACAGGCAAGAAATGTTATCAACATTCGTAACCTTCTCTTTGTTCTTCTCGTCTTGGTGACTGTTGAACTGGTGACCTTTAACCCAACAAAATGTGCTATGATGGGGTCTTTACTTGGATTATGTTCGGTACAGAGATTACGTGACAATTCTTCCAGAGGCAGACATATCAGCTGGATTTGGGCAAACTCACAACCGGAAGTGAAGTTACCATTATGTCCCCTGATTCCTCCTACCATTGGTAAGTATTAAGCAATGACGTGAGTTCACTGCTTTCCCAAACTTTCAATTTTGTTAGATCAGTAATTCATATCAAACTTGCTTATTCAATTTATAGGCGAAAGAAAGAAGTGACAAGTATAATAACCAGTTTATCATACATCTAAAACATAAATGATAGAGAAGATGTGTGGTAAGGATATCATTAATGATGCGATAACAGCTTTCATTTCCTACTGATCTGTGATCATATACAAAAGATCTTTGTTTAAAATATTTAAACAAATTCATCAATTACAATTATTAAGTGAAGAGTTTGGAGAAGTCGATAAAGGGGGATTAACTCTAAAGTACATAGTTAAAGCAAATGTGATAATTTGTGTTGGGATATGAACTCAATAGGACGTGCATGACAGTAAAATCAAATTTTTGCATAATAAAGACCAATTTTAATTCTGACAATACATATTCATAATATTTCTCAATGTACATACAAATTTAAGTGTATACATACCTCATACATTGCAAAAAATGATAATGCACAGAAATATGATTGTATCAAATTGAGTACGTTTACAGTATATGTCTGTTGAGCTAAATCGAACTTAATAATATATTTTTCCGGCTATAAGAATTCTGACTCTTTGCCTCGTGTTTGATTTGCCAATATTTTGAGTACAACTGATGCTATTTATAATGACTACTGCGGTCTGCACTTCATTTTACTAGTTTATGGTGGCTTTATAGAACTGTTTTGATATGCAAATGTGCCAACTCACAAATGCACGACGGGAAATGTTTGCAAAAACATGGGATTATGTTTTTCAGTGGGAAAGGTACCTGTGACAACAGCTGTATACAGCTGGGAGTCGTTAGAGGACAAGTTCCACGACATTCAGATGGGAGGCCGATACCGACCTACTCATTGTACTGCTCGTCACAGGGTGGCCATAATATTGCCTTTTCGTGACCGTGAGATACACCTGAAAATCTTTCTCAACAACCTTCACCCATTCCTACAAAAACAACAACTCGACTATGCTATATTCATTGTCGACCTGGTAAGTAAGCTTTTGGTAGATATCTGCATCTGTCTTTTGTGTTTTCTTGCTTGTTTTAATCATGGTTAGAAATTGCTTTCATGACAATAAATAGAGCCATATTATTCTTCATTTTCATCAAATAGATACTAGAAGCACGGTTACACTGACATTTGTCGGTGAGATGCTGCCTGGCAGCGGGAGGATTCACGGAGATGGAAAATTTGTCAACAAACCAATTTGTCTATAACCATGTAAAACGTGATGGCGTTGGAAGAGAATATATAATATATAAATATTTTCCCTGCATTCTTTAGTTATAACAAAGAGAAAAGTACCTTACACGACTAAGCATACAGCTTCTCAAAGATGTGCGGAGTTCAGCTGTTGTGTATGAGTATACAGTATATCTGTTTAGATTTTCAATACGGGTGTGTAAATCCGTCTTCAATCAATCACTAATTGATGGTAACATTACAATCTCTACATTATTGTTATTTTTATATTTTAGATGCCGGAGGTAACCTTTAATAGGGCAATGTTACTAAACATAGGGTTTACGGAGGCCTTGAAACTGTATGATTACCAGTGTTTTATCTTTCATGACGTTGATCTTATTCCCGAGATGGGTCATAATATGTACAGCTGTCCAGAAAATCCACGTCATATGTCAGTTGCAATCGACACAATGCATTACAGGTAAGTTTTATACCATTTATACGAAAAAGTTGATTTTTGTCACTTAATCTTCACAAATGAAAAGAAAAGAACGACAATTGGACCAGTGGTCACCGCACTAGCATTACGACTAGAGTTGGCAAATCATATTTTCATCTTCAATGTTATGTTCACTGCGTTAATCATGTCTTAGAACTATCCACCGGTCATAGTGTCATACTATAAACTTGAAAGTCGTTCTTGGAAGGAACATATTTGTTGTTATTTGTGAGGAATGAAAAAATAAGAATGAAAGAAAAGCATGACTCTTGTTTTTAGTTTGGCATTTATACTTTATCTCTATCACATGTCTGTTTGGTATTTAATACGGATGTATGGGCAATGTATATGGATGAAGACTATACACAGTAAATGAATTATGAGAATGTGACTCGTATCCATATATACCGCGATTGTACATGATTAGGTACATCTGTAACCCTAATCAACGTGTCTATATGATTGTTTCACTGGATTGTATTATGTGATTCATCATCACGAGTCCTATAATTGTACTTGGTTATGTGACTCATATCATGTACTCCTTGCTTGTTTCCCATAATTGTAAATGCTTTTGTGGCTCATATATAATAATTGTATTGATTATATGTATCGACTCATACGTTTAGGTGATTCCGATCCATTCTTTTATATGGTAAACGCCATCTTTTTTCACAGATTGCCTTACAATAATATATTCGGAGGCGTAGTTGCAATGACCAAGGAACAATTCAAGCAGGTCAACGGCTTCTCTAATAAGTACTTCGGATGGGGAGGGGAAGACGATGATATGTTCAACAGGTATGTATGTGTTTACTGGTCGAGAATACCTGTAAATGTCCATTTATGCGAGGCGTTAAGTGCGTTTGTTCGTAAGCGTCTACAATATAGTAATCCTCCATATGTTAATGAGGAAGAGAAGCTGGCTTTATATTGAAACTACAAAATGGACAAACGGGTCGTTACACTTCCACATTGCTGAGCGTTAATGAAGAATTTGTAATTGCCATATTTTAAAACTAAGGCATGTCTCGGCTAAAGGACAGAACCTACAGCTAACTAAAGGCAAACAAGGAGGCAATGTCGGGAGAGGTTAGGGAGAAGTAGTTCAGAAAAAAGAAAAGACCAAATCCCAGATTAAGTCGTCTCTTACGAATGATGCTTCTGGAACAACAGGAACAGCCCTCTACCAGAAGGTCACAAAAGATCACGGATGTTAGAGATCACCAGATCACCGAAGCAGAAGTTTCTTTTATGCAAAGCTTAAACAACAACCAATAAAGATATATTTGTTGAACGTGTGACGGTATTGTCACTTACATGTAAAATGAAAATATCTATAAAACCTTTTTGACATAAATGGATTGTCAGCGTCATATACGTATTTAATATATACAAAGTCTAATATATATTGTGACGCCACAAAGAAAAATAATGTCATGATTTCACAAAGACATTACTATAAGTTCTTGCATCGATTTCTCGTGAATTCATATCCGATTAAATCATTTGCAAAAGTCTGATGCGTAGATAAAAATTTTGGCGAAAGCGGTATCAAAACTCGTTCATGTTCTATCTGATTTTAATGAAAAATTGTGATAATCGTTTTATAAAACTCATTCTGAATGGTTGAAATACAAGACACCAGCAAAGCATATTGCTAAACGTTATTTTCGTCTGTTAATTTAACTTGTCTGGCTAATGTCTATAATTTTGATATATGAGACATAAACATGACAACTCTGAGCAAGAGTTTTATTCACACATTGTACACTCACACATTATAACACAAGTATTTTATCAGAAGATTGCTAGTAAGGATCTTATATAACATAATATTAATGTTATATATTGTTGGCAAGATAGCGACAAATGATTTGAAGAAAAATATAACGACACATGGTTGGTAGGTAACGTAACGGCACACAATTAGAAGGTAACGTAACGACACATGATTGGAAGTATTGTAACGACAAATGGTTGGTAAGGTATCGTATCGACACATGACTGGAAGGTAGCATTGACACATCGTTGGTAGGTAACGTAACGGCCCATTTTTGATATATCTTTAATCGACTTTATAGGGTTGGACAGACCTTTCGATTTTTACCGAGTAAAAGTGTGCATATTGATGAATTAAACTGACACGAAGCAGAAAGAGTCTAATTCGAAACCGTTTTTGACAACTTTGCGATTTAAATGACATCATACATCAATTTCGATTAATTTCTATTGGGTGTTAATTTTGACATCATTGTTAAACTTGAATGTCTTAATGTCCAATATAAAACACAATATAAAGGGTTTTTTTTATATTCAACTGATACGATAGATAATTTGAGATTTAGAATTGGCCCCCAACAGCAGACTGTCTTATTGAAATTTGGTTTTGGATCTAGCTTACGTAGTTTTCTCGACAACAGGTCTACATGTGCTTTTTATCCTAAATATGCGGTGGATTAGTTGTAAAGAATAACATTTTTCCAAAAACTACAGTTTATTTTCCTCGTTCGTGGCAAGCAATGGTCGGGTGTAGAAAGTCTCAATCGCTCAATACTATACTGTACAATTAAACCGTCAAATTAATATCAATATTTGCTTTTCTTTGGACAACAAACTAGTACAACAAATACAAAATAAGACATATACATGTACTCATCGCACTGATTCTATAGTTTCATAGCCTTTTATAAATGACGTACAGTTCTCCACTTTTTCTGTTATGTTTATGAAGTGAACTGCTTCGTTTTTCAGAATAAGACATAACAACATGTCTATAACGAGATACCCAGGTGATGTGTCCCGGTATAAAATGCTGTCTCATAAAAAAGAACACGGAAATCCAAATAGGTGGGTATTTAAGAATATTTCTACACGTTCAAAACGTTCTTAAAATATGACCAAATAACAAGATAATCGAAATCCAAGTGTTACTTTTGAATTGTTACGAAGTTGTATATGGATATAATTGTTATAAAGCTTAACAAAAGAAGTGATGCCCTGCAATAAATGTATATGGATGCCCATCTTGTTTTGTGATAAAAAAGCTTTATGGAATTCCTATAAGAAATGGAATCGTTTTAAGTATATAATGATTTTGATATATCATGCAGCAAAAGTATTGATTTGTTTTGCAGATTTCACTTACTACAAGGTTCTAAAAAGAGGTGGCAAAAGGACGGTTTAAACAGCCTTAAATACTCGCGTGTAAAGCTCGAACTGCGCAAATTATACACGTACCTCTTGGTGGATATTGACGAGGTGTATATCATGAGTAACGGACAATACAACAGAAGTCACCAGCTACAACACCAACATAGATTACAGCAACAGTTTGATGAGCAAAATGTCGACCAGCAACATATAGCGCAAATACAGAAAGATATACAGCGAATACAACAGAAAGAATTGCAAAAGCAACAACAAAAACAAAGGATAGAAGAACGCGAAAAACAAAAGCAAAAGTTATTAATACAAAATCAGGAAAAACAGGCACAAAACGCAAAACAAATACAACAAACGAAAAACAAGCAGTTAGATCCACAGCTGAATCAACACGTACAACAAAATTTACACCAACATCAACCAGTACAAGCTAATATAGAATTGATGAAACAAAATCAACAAAACAACCAAAAATTACAACAAAGTGTACAGCAGAATCAACAGCAGATCAAACAATCACAACAAATACTACAGAAACAACTAATACAACAAAATCAACAACAGAAGCAACAACCACAACAAAATCAACAACAGAAGCAACAACAGCTACAAAATCAACATCCACAACAAAATCAACAACTACAACAAAATCAACAACCACCACGAAATCAACATCTGAACCAACAACTACAACAAAATCAACATCTGAACCAACAACCACAACAAAATCAACAACAGAACCAACAACCACAGCAAAATCGACAACTACAACAAAATCAACATCTGAACCAACAACCACAACAAAATCAACAACAGAACCAACAACCACAGCAAAATCGACAACCACAACAAAATCAACAACAGAACCGACAACCACAGCAAAATCGACAACAAAATTTCCATCAGCAACAAGAAGTTCATAAAATTATTGAAATGCAAAATAATGTTTTAGAAAATACTCAATTACAAATTCAGCGTGCACAACAGAATAGTATCAATGGTGTCATAAAATTGCCCAACTTAATGAAGGAATCTAATGTACGTATATGACAACAAAATACTTTTGAGGTATGTGAAAATGTGTGATCGATACGTTATGTGCAGTTTTTATAAAAGCTTTCAGTAATCTTCTCAACAAAGCTTGGATTCCGACGACGCGTGAATGTATGATGGAAATAGTATATATGTATATATCTCATTCAGTATCGTTCTGTTCTGTCTCCAATGACTAAGGATGCTTTTTTACCTGACTATGGCAGTTGCACAATCTTGTCGGTTAAGCCAGGACTAATTCTGATACAAATCTCCAATATTTCAGGAAATATATTTTTCGAGTTGTTTTTAAAAACTAAGGATTACTTTAATTTTGCATAGAAATCTGCATTCTTGGATATTCATGCATTGTGATGGTCGGGGTGGTCGGGTGGCGCCGTGGTAACGCACTCAACTTTCACTTAGCCGTCCGGGTTCGATTCCCGGAATGGATGTGAACAGGTATGTGGTCACCTGCCCGACCAAGTGGGTTTTTCTCGGGTACTCTGGTTTCCCTTCTACAGTAAGACCCCTCGCGCGCTTCCATGTGGGCCAACAAATATAACAAGTGATAAATATAGGTTGGAAATTGTTGTAAACTGTATAAAGTTTATTTCTTTAGTGCGACCATATTAATGGAAATGAGATATTTCTGGTTGTTCATTCCTGTTTATGTTTTACGTTTTACCATGAAATACGACACGGTCAAGAACTGTAAATCACTTAGACTTCGCGAGTAATTAATTTCCGGAACTCACCTTTGCAGACATATTCGTGAAAATGATGACTTTGGATTCGAGAATGATGAGCTATTAGAGACATTTACTCAGAACAACTCCAAACCAATAGCTTCATATTGGCCAAGTTGCTTATGAAAGTCATGTGACTATACCTTTAAAGTGTCCATACTGAATGGTATTTAACGGAGTACAGACCAGTACAGAGACAACAGAAATTAACGTGAACACCCCACACGATGTTATATTTGAAGAGTGAAGTGAGTTGTTCTCGGGGTAAGATGACATGACTTCAAAAGGCCAGATGTATCGTATAGTGTTTAACGTTACACTTCGTTATGTATTATACTAATTATACAGTAGTTTTTAAGCTGTAACATCTTTGACAGTTTTCCTATTGTTTATTTTGCAGTTCAATGAAATAGATATTTTTCATGTTAATTTCAGTTACTGTAAATACTTTGCCACATTTCAAACATAAATAGCATCGAGGATGTATAATTCTATAATTTTTTTTATAGAAATCGTTTGAAAGTACAGAGTTCTAAAGATGTCTGAATATGAAAGGAATATATGTCTCGCAGATTTGTTCAATGGATGTATAAACGGCGCTAAAACCAAGAGATTCGTACAAATAATCGCGTATTATCGCGAAAATAAATACCGCGTGAAATTTAAGTGATTTACAGCATAAAGTGTTATCCTGATATTCATAAACTCATTCGTATATCTCGCACACAATAATAATGGTCACATTCTAAAAGATTTTGTCATTTCCATTCATATACGCCTGTCAATGGACCAAATCATGCAAAACTTTAACAAGCATTTGCTATCAAGGCAGAATACTGTACTGAGCTTTGGGGTGTATGAAACATGCTTACATATTTACTGGGCCATATATTTATTGCGATAACAAAAATGCGTGGACATGTTTGATAGAGTAATGTGAGTGAGAATATTGGTAATTTTATCTGTGATAAGAATGTGTGCTACTCTGTGTTTAAAAAACACAAGTCTTAATAATGTTCATGGTTTTGTTACTATTTTCTAACACGAAACAGAAAAAGGTGATGTTTAATAAACAACAATGACTAATCCTATATGTTTTGTTGTTTATTGTCTACTCAAATTACCTTTACGGTGGACATAGAACTCACCATTTATTACTAAACCTCAATTACCATATGTCTTTTCAGCTACAGAATGGACGAAAATTCAATGAATTTTCAGAATTTGTTATGATTGTGTGGTGCAACCAACAAGTTAAATGGATAAGAGGTAGCACAAATCATGTCTAGAATAACGGACGGACAGACGGACTGACACATAGACATTTTATTGCCCTATATCACGGACGTGTTTTCCTATTTACTGTACCTCAATCCGGATAGTTCTGATACTTAGTCTGTAGTTGTATTAATCGAATTATTTCACCCAACAGAATAGATGAACGTTTCTGGTTCTAATATCGTTATAAACTGGATATTTCTTCATGCTAAAATAGCATGGGTTGGTTCGTATATTGACAACAGAAACATACATACTTATATGAAACTCTCCGACATTTTTGACAGTGACAGATTGACTTTTTCAAACTGAACCTCTTTTCGACGGAATATATGCCGGCAGAAATACGCTGACTATAAATCTGATTTTTTTAAGGAAAACGTGTCATTCAAAAATATTTATATTGGAGTTCTGCATATATGCAACTTATAATCGTCTTTTCCATACTGCTTGGACAATTATCTTTTTAGCAATCAAGCAATGATTTTTATTATCTACGATATCCCAATGCCTATTAACATATTCTACAATATTACAATTGAAGTCATGTAACATAATATGTTGTTTCGACTCTATTTAATGATACTATGAAAGGGGTCATTTTGATGGAAATGTTGTTAGAAGGAAACCCCACATCGCTCTGGTTAGTTTATACAGAAACATAACCGTGGAAATGTAACTGATTACATCTATACTGACAGCATGAAAAATATACCAAATAAAAATTTAACGAAGCTTTTTAATAGCTGAGAAGTGAAACTTTCTACATTAATTCGACACGAACCTAATCAAATTGTTAATGACTGTATTCTGACTTTCGACGGATTTAGATAGCCAAACAATTTAGAAATAACTGAAAAAACTAAATAAAAACAGTCTATTTGATGCTTACTGGAGCTAAAAGGAAGTGGTATGTTAGCATATCAATCAATGTGAAGTGGATATGATTGGTTGTGACTTTTAATGCAGGGTTTAGTTGTAGTTTGATCAATCGATTCATGAATGTTGAATTCTTCTTTGATCAACTATATCAACTTTCTTTCGTGCGTTTTGTAGTTATCACATTGGCCGTTATTATTCTGAACTGTGTTTTATACATCTGTTTCGATGTATGGAGCATCCAACCAATGCTTTCAACATCATATACTACTGTCAATTCAGATGGATTAAAGAATGAAATACGATCACAAAGAAGAATTTTCATACACTACTGCAATCCCCCCTATAGGTTCTCAACTCGTACTAGTGTATTTAAGAGATGCTAAAATTCGCTGTTTATTGTCAACAGGAAAAGCTCAAGGCTATTATGACAAACTGTCGTGTTATTTTTGTCCATCTGTTTCTTTCAAGCCATTGAAGAAAAGAAGATGACAAATCTGGGTTATGCATAATACAGAGCCACTGACACTTCATCATGGACAATGACATACCGCAGAGACTAGGATATCCCAAATTTGTACGGAAAGTTTACAGCAAGTCGGATCAATTTGCATACCTTCCTACCGTTACCTTAAGGTTTACTTCTGACGCCGAATTTATTCGTTCCTCTGCCTGGTTTCTATCCTGTTGTCATACTCAAAGGAGACTGGATGTTTAAGTTAGAACACTCAACAGAACGCACCCAGTGTATATATACGGCGGCTGTGGTACACTTAAATGTACCAAAGAAAAAGTGACACTAACTGTCAATCGCTTCTAAATCCGAAATACAAATCATATCTATCATTTGAAAACTCTCTTTGTAAGGATTACATTACAGAAAAGAGTTTTAATTTCTTTACTAAAAGAATAGATATTGTTCCTATTACTCGTGGTTTCGACGATATATACAGGTTGTATTTACGTCCGGGATCATTCATAAATACCAATGCTTTTAATAGCAGCTTTCATTTAAGACATTTCTAAATGATCTGAGCAAAAGAGCTCATTTTTTCGCAGTATTTTGAATGGATAAAAATTACCTTGCTTATTCTGTGGTATATCGCCCATTCTGTGAACTATGTGATCGAATGCACACACCAGAGATATAGTTACACGATATTCAATATTGCACAATGACATACATCAATGGATGTTCAGGTCATCTAATATCACCATATGTACGAAGGCACAAGATGTAGGATTATAACTCGGAACTAATTTCAATGGAAATATTTGAATATATAGTATTTAACAAAAAAAAAAAAAAAACCATACTATGCATACAAACAATGCACTCAAATTGAGCATGCGTTTCCTGCATAATATGCGGCCCTCAAGAATATCTTTCAGGGGTCGTCACAACGAAATATCAAAACCTGGAAGCATTCCATTCCAGCTCTGATAAATATTGTACCATACTTTGCTGCCATTAGAGTTCCTATTTCCATTATGTATTTAAGATTACAATGAACCAAAATAAGATATCGACATGTTTACAACTATTGTTAAAATTCGAAATCGATCAAAGATTTCATCGACGACTGAAGATTTTTTTTCTGCAGTGAAACCATTTTCATTTTCCGAGCTATCTTTGTTGTCCTTGCATCTTTCATCCTGATTTTCCTACTTTGTGGTGGTGCTGATATATAGTCAATGAAAAAGATAAAACTTTAGTCAGAGACCAGCTCGTTCTCTGTTAAATATTTGATTATATTTGATTAAGTTGTGATAGTATGTACCTGGATAACCATATCAAGAACGTAATTTTAAAATATCTCCTAAGGTGGCATCGACCTGTACAATTTTCAGTCTGCAGACGTCCTGTTAACATTTTAATTTTAATATTTTACGATGTTTGTTGCTTATGTATGATGTGCAAAATGGATTATATGAATGGGAATTAGTGTCTGCATAGCTAAAAAAATGTATCATGAATTAAGACAACATTTGATTAGATATTGTGCATAGTAACAAGTACCGTAAGGTTTTTAACTATCATAGGATGTTAAATCTCATAATACTATGTATTGATATGCATGATCGCTGTGTTACTATCAGTCATTGTATTACATGGTGGTGTTCCCTTTTGTAGTATAAAATGGTGTCTACAGCCAGAAATATGCTGGATGTCTCTCAGAAAAAAAACTAATTATATGTAATTAAACTTGTGACATACTGCAATCTTGAATACAAGCCCACAGAAACATGCCTTAGGATTAGGCCTAATCAGAATTAGTCACCTAAATCCAATAGAAACAATCTAGAGCTTCTCCTTGTAAGCTATCACAGGAACAAAACGAAACCATAGTCAAAATTGAGAAGAATTGTGTCTTGTCATTAGTAAAAGAGTGAGCTTACAGAAATAGACAAGTAATTGTTCTCTGTAGTAACGAACGCGTTCAATCAAAGTTGCTAAAGTATCCGCTGTGTGGGTCCATTTTTAGATCGCTAGTGTTTGGAATAGACAGTATTTTAAATTTGTGTAGTACTGATCTGTGTTTAATTAGTAAGCAGGAACCAGGACCGAAATTTTCAGTGTCTAGAATTGAAAATTTAATGTCATCATTTATTATGCTGTTATTGATATTTATTTTTTATTGATTATGCTAAAAATATACTTATCAATAACCACATAATACATGTAAACATTGACATAAAAAGATCATTTACATACAGAATTATTTGGTTTAGCAAGAGCTTTAACAACTCAATTTCTAGACGAATTCCATCAATTTTAATTTGATTGACAGTTTTAGTGGAAAACGATATTTTCTGGTTCAAAGTTATATAACAAGATTTATTTTATTAATATTATCAATATTTTAATCATGCGATCATTCGTATATCATACTTGGTTAATGGGGATTATAAAATAACAAAACAAACATTCTCTCAACGCCAGTCATTCTTTGTTAATTCTCCTACAGATTTATATAATTTCTTTTTACAGACTTATTATATAAAACGCTCGACTTAACTTCTCGAACGCTCGACTCATCATTGCAAGCGCTCGACTTATCACATCTTAACCGTATTAATATAGGAATACTGATTAGTTCTTATATTTGTAAAGTATACGAATATACATAATGTAATTCAGTTTTCTTGCAATAAAGTAACCAGAGAAAATTTGTCGAAGCTCGAGAAATTAAGTCAGGCGCTCCAGAAGTTAAATAGAGAGGTCGAGATAGCTAGTGTAGAAAATAAAATTGTTTATTTCCTTAATGTACCACCGTAGATCTGAACGTAAATTGCTGTGTTAACTCTGCATCTCAGGTAGCTGACAACTTCATGACCAGTACACTGTAATTGTTGGCAGCCGGCTCAATGTGCATTTCCGTTTCTAAACATTTAACAGCCGTTAGATTTGCAGTGAATTGATAATGTTAACATACTTTCTACTCAAATATAATGGATTTTTATAATATAAAATCAGCGGATTATCCGCAATCACCAATATGAAACTGGACATGGTTGATGCTCGTTAGTTCCGTTGTTAAACACCTTGTTCTTTTTTGAGAATGTGAATTTCCTACTTGAATTGATCTGATTTACATGGCGGGTATCGTCGATGAAGCAGAAGCCACTTATTCTTCCGGAGCAACTGGTCTTACTTCCCTTGCACTTTTTCAAGAGTTTCAATATAAATATTTCCTTTGTACATATTTCACTCTTATTCCAGTTTTATTTAATCTGAGTTTGGATTATGATTATGTTGACATGATGGAATTTGTTTTCTTCTGCATCATTTGAAATTGGCTTTGGATACGGAGTCACATATAATAGATATAATAATGATTTGTATGAAACAATATCAACATTTTAAAAGATATTTGATCCTTTTGAAGCTTGTTTTAGGCCCTGACAAATTATCGAGGATTGCTGATGATTGGTGGAGACTGGTGTAAGACACTACCAAATTGCTCAATTTAACCTTTGTGTCTGTTGTGTATTCTGCGGTTATAGGATAATTTGAATACAAATCAACACCTTGTTAGGCAAAAACAACCAATTACCAAACATACTTTAAAATTTGATTTATTATACCTTTTCTCTTGATAGCTGGCCCTCGTATGAGGAAATGAAAAATGACAATGGATTACGTATAACAAAAACCATATTTCATTATTGTTCAGATACATTCTTTTTGTCCATTTGTACAACCAATGTTACAGAAATGTCTCCCATGCGGCAGTTAAAACATTTGTTTAAGTGTAAACTGTTTCAAAAATGTGCTGTGACGTCTTTAAGTTTACAAAACATTACCTTTGTTCTGAATTTAAAAAGCATTGTTTTAACAATAGTGCTTAATACATTGCTAAACGGTAAACACTAGGCGTCAATGTGAACGTTAAACTCACTGCTTCAGATCTTTATTTCTGTAAATACACTTCGGTTTTTTTGTGTCATGATTTCGAGTCAACGACATTCGTATTGTCTGTCGCTGTTTCAGTGATTTGTGTTAGCAAACCAAGCTTACAGTGCACATTCATAAATTACTCTTTAATAACAATACCGAACCTATAACACACCAAAAGTTTTCTTAAGTTTACATATGATGCAACCAAAAAGCTCTAAGAATACAATCTCAAGTATGTAGTGCAGTATCAAATAGCTGTCACTTCTGCATTTCCAAGTGAACACGAAAAAGTAAAAGTAAGTTACAATATTAAGACTGTGCATCAGACGCAAAAGTGAGTAGCACTTTTTAATACAAATTGAGAATAAGATTTATTGAACCAAACAATGAACTTAACAGCATGATACAGCTGTTTCGCCCTTCTTAGGCTGATCAGTGATGCGTAACAGACTGACTTTTGAAACCTATGGGGCGACTGAGAAACATCCATTGTGATCAGAAGAAATATCAAAATCTGAATATCGAAAGTATTTTGTTTTTATTCAGTAGAGCCTATATGTGTGATGCCATAGGACATTTCATTATGATTTTGGGAATTATTTCAAATAGATTTGCAGGTTAAGTTTATGGAAGTGATACCTTCGGTAAAAAAGTTGATAGTCACATTGTAATATCAATGATAAAACAGTCTATACCTGTTCAGTTGACCTTTTCTTTGTCATATATCAAATTTTGTGTAGTAGTTAGGATGCCGTCAGATTAAAAATTAGCACACACATTTTGCGAGTCAGAAAATTATAGCTATTCTTCATTTTCTCATTTACCTGGCTGTAAATAGACAATTTTATAAATGATTGATTATCATATCAAACAATCACATCGACCTTGTTTTGAGACACCTTTAAGACACCTGATAGCGTTATACAAGTACAATATTTTTATTTCAATCTATACATGGTTTTATCGACATGGCAGCGAAAGCGACCGACCGCCGATTCTTGTTTACATTTGAAACATTTTGCTTTCTCATTGTAGTATACACTAAAGACATATAAGGCAAGATTAACGCGTATTGCAAGTACAAATGTAATAGTTTCATTATAAAACTATATTTTGATATCATATTCAGAACATTTTTCTCCATTTTTAAAAATCATCGAAATAGAGACTTTCTCCTTTTCACGTTTGGTATTTCTGGAAAAAATTTATACATCAGTTTTGATGTTCCATTTGAGGAGGAATTAGTTTCAATGTCATTTACTTTTGTGCACATGGCGACATCGGATGAACCAAAAACCCAATTATTGATGTCATGATACACCCTGTGATATTTTGTATATACGTCTGGTTCATGCATCCTTTCACAAAGATCACAGAACTGTTGATATCTGTCAAATTCCGCTTGATAATATTTTCTCCATTGAAAATATTGTTCATACAGTGTACCGTGTTTGCTAAGATAATCTAAAAAAGTTACTAACTTATCAATACTATCATAATTACTTGTGTCAATAAATGATTCTGGAGGTAAATATAACGAATACATCCCATTAAAGCCTCGAGTAATAGGGATAGCATCAATTCCCTCTGTGTAAAATTGAAAACTCTTTTCTGAAATGTAATCCCTACAAAGTGAGTTTTCAAAGGAGAGATAAAATTTATATCTCTGTCCTAACAATGAAAGACATTGAATGCTGTTTCTGGGACGACATTGATTTTTACCACAGCGACCAAATATATCAACAGAATGCTTATTTTTAAGAATTTTAACGTAATCTTCCCGTTTACTCTCCGTGTGACAATTTGACACAAACCAGGCAGTCGAACTAACATTTTCTTTACGTCCTGTAAGTTTCGAAGTCACATTTGGAAGGCGCGCAGACGAATTAAATCTTTTTTCAAAATGTCCGCGCATGTTTGGGATATCCGAGTCCCTCCGATAAGTCATTGTCCAATTGAAAAGTCCCATCCACTCTGAAATTTGGAAATTGTAATGTGAAGGTGGCTCCCTACCATTCAAGACCCAAATCTGTCCTTGTCTTTTCTCCACTGGTTGACCATTAAGATGTGGACCGAAAAATATCACAACATCTTTATCATAATAATCTAGACCTTCTCCAACCGATATTGAACATTTATTTGAGCAACCTTTAAAAGCACTGGAAACCTCGAACCATACCGGAGGATTGTAAAAGTGCATGTGGATTTGTCGCGTTCTATCAGGGGGTTTTAGTTCCATTTCACGTATGTGCCTTCGGTTTAGTGTTATAAATGGTGAAACTTCCCATGGGGTTGCTGTTGGAGTTTCAGTCTCAAAAGTAGAGTAAAAAATAAATGTGATGATGGTCATCAACAGTACAACTGGAATAAGATACCTGAAACGACAAGAAACGCCGTAATTAAAGAATGACACAATTATAACAAACTCGGTAGAATTATAACGATAAAATTATGCAAGCTATCTGACATTGAATTTTATTACGTAGTATCAGGAAATGAAATAAAATACTTGTTATTACACTTCGTAGATGCAAATATTTTTCTAACCATGGTACGAGTCCAGGGATTAGATTTGTTCATTTCTGCGATAAAAAAACATGTCACGTTTGCTATATATACCTATAATAAAATACAAAATATTAATATATACAAGTGTATGTATGTATAATACAAACTGTGTTTTGAGAACGTAACACAATTTTGTCACATGTCTATCGGCCGTATACCAATGGTCATGTTGCTAGGAAACTTGAGGTTTTCTCCCTCATTCTTCTTTCGTTTCACCATTTGCAGCTTCTTATCTATCCATCGGCAGTTTTTATTTACCTGTCAATGCTTTGTTTTTTTGTTTCTGCGAGTTCCTCAGTACATAAATATGTTATAAAATCCGTTGTATAACCGAAATAAGTCAGGAATACATAAAATTGGTTTTAAATGCACTCAGTTAGATGTTTTCACTATTATGTGAACTTGAAGACTGTTAATCGATCATTTTCTTTGATATGTTATTACAGTTTGAAAACACATCAGACGCATACTTCAGTTGTTCATTCATTCCTAAACATCAATTCTGTGTGATCATTAAACAAACACGACATTTATATGTGATAACTGATGATGCGGCACACATATAACTGTTTAAGCATCTCTTTGCGAACAGCCGCGATTCTCCAAAGTTGAGTTTGAAAATAAGAGAGTTGATCTTATTAACATCATTTTATGTCGGAAACTCAGAACAGATATACGCCTACAGATAGCACAAGTTTATTACATCCAAACTTTTTTCAGTTTATGATAATGGTCCGCACCTCTCTCGTTTATATTTAATTCCTTAACTTCATAAGGATCCATTAAACCCGTTATTGCTATCTTGTCTACATCTTACCATCCTACATATGCATCAAGTCAGGGTTACAATCTGATTGTGATACTGTTTATAGGAGAGGAAGAATTAATTGTATGCGACTTTTAAAGAACCCCAATGAACGTTTGACCAATCTTCAGTGCCCTCTTCTAAAAAGATATTTCCTCAGCTAAAAATGTTTGATTTTTACACTTCCGTAGCCCATTTTAATCTGAGGAAACATCCTCGTTTTCTTGTTATAAGAGCTTTTTTCAACGAAAGGTGATCATGAACGGCGGTACAAATACATGGTTGTTAACTTTACTGAATCGTATTTCGGTAAAACTATTTCTTAATAAGAAAAATTTGTAGGACGAAATCATGAAAATGGTCGAATTTCTGGTTTACTATATCAACGTTGAGTTCGGTGGTAGTAAGAACTTCCAACAGACTATTTACACTGGTTACAAACTGCGTCTTTCTCTTCGCTGACTTTTACGAGGCTTATAATAACGTCACAAAGACTATGCAAAGTTCGTCAGTCTCACTTTCACTCTTCGAATTTTCATTTATTAATAGCGTTTGGTCTTTAAGTATCAAGAGATCTATTGACCATGACCGCATGTTCCAACCAGAATTGAAAATCTAGGACACGACAGATTCTTACACGTCAGCCGCTTACCTACAATGAAACCAAAATGGAAAGCTTTCCACGGAGCTGTATGACTAGAATTATTATTTTGATTTTTCTATCGTGATCTTTCCGTTTCTCTATGTGTAGCATTTAAGTTATTCAATATTCAAGAGCGTGTTCGCGATATAACGACTTTCACACAAAAATTCCGGCAGCTGATACACTCACGACACAGGATACCGAAAGATGCAGACTGATGAAGATTATGGGTAGTTTAATGGTCGTCATAGGTGGAAATATTGTATTTCCTAATGCGATATGATTTTGGACGTGTTTGATGTTCGTTGATTTGCCTGTTGGTTCCAGTGTTGTATACCTTGTCTCATTTGGAAACATGACATTATTTCTTTGAATTGACCAAGGTTTACATGGCGAGTGTTGTCGATGTAGCAGAAGCCGCGTACTCTTCCGAAACACCTGGTCTTACTCTCCTTGTACATTTAAGATTGAATGTTAAGTCATTTTGATGTAGTATCATATTCTTAATTTTCAAATCGAAATTACCACACATACAAATATCGAGTTAAATAGAAAGTTAATTTCTTTCGTATTGAAAATCTTCGTTACTAATGCTTAAGTGGTAAATGATTTTTCATCATTACGAAAAGAAATCAATTCAAACTGTTAATTCGCAATTTACATTTAATCATCACGTGTTTAAGATAACCTGAGCATGTTTTCAGTTGCTTATCTTAAGTGTTGTCCCTGCAGCAGTTAAGGATATATGCAACATGTGTCTTTAGGTTATGGGACCCACTCGATATCAGTTGATAGTTAATTCTTTCTCAAAGGTCGTAACCAAAACACTGTTTGGCGAATGGAATAATTGTGGCGAGTTTCACAAATCATCAAAATTGATATCCTTTATAGCATATGATTAATTTTTGCAGTTTCATATCGTAGAACATTTCATTTCCAAGTTAGCTTTAAGCCTGTGTCTCTTTTTCCCATAATGATAAGTATATCTGTACTAAAAATGTATCTGCGTCCGTGTCTTCGTGACAAATTCTCCTAGAAAGTATGGTCAGTACAATGTATGTTTTATAAAAATCGTCAAATAGAATCCAAAATGAGTGACAATAAACCGTAGCAATCATCATACGATAAAAGATACTCAATATGAGAAATTCCTTTAGTGTTGAATTATAGAATAATGTAAAAATCATCATGATATACTTACCTGTGTGGCGCAGTTATCGTTATTAGAATATTCAAAAGTACATGACACAGTGGCCTAACAAATGTAAATCGATGATCCATTTTGACGCTGTCTTTTAGTGTCCGAAGTGGCCACTTGTCATTACGATAGTGCAGAGAAAGAACAAATCCCTTGAGTCTGTATCTATATAACGTTGGCAAAAATGTGTGTATTCTGTTCCCATAAAAAATACTTTCACATAAAGAGCTTTTACACTTGTCCATTGGCAAATTTCTCAGTCGCCGGACAGATACCTCTGGGAAGGATCAGGGATAAACACACTATATTATCAAATTTGTAAATGGATTTTCCTTCAGGCTTTAAGTTTCCCTGTCGGGTTGATCATTATGTCTAATGATAACAAACACATTTTAAAGGAAATAAGCAAAAATAAAACTTGCCTGTAGCTTTCATCTCTATAACAAGAAATGTAGCCACTGTTGATTATTTATTCAACACTGAAACACTTTAGTGTGTGTTAATCAATAGTTTCATTGTTTCAACATGTAACAATACAGATATATATGTATATGTGACGTAAAATAAACAAGAATCGTAAACCATTAAATAATGAATATGATACATTAACAAATTAATTCAAGATGACAGTGAACGGGACGGTTCTGTGAATAAAGATATAATTGTAAATAAAACATATTTAAAAATGTGTATTGATATCCCTTTTGGGATGCTGGTTTCGGTTAAAAAATCTTTTGTGAAAATTGTATATATAAAGACAAATTAAATGTGTGATATATATATATATGAAACCGTCTATCATATTTCTGTTATTTTTTCTGTCACTTTCTTCTTTCACGATCTCTATATATTTCAGTTGTCTGTGGATTGTGTACGAGTGTACATGTTAGAGTGTCTGTAAGTGTAAATAACCAGCCATATAACACACTTAGACTGTACTCGATGCGTCTTCGCGTACTTTATTAGCTAAGGTACATGATAGTGACAAAATACTGACCAATACAACATTTGAGATAAATGTATATATTTACTCTAATTTCCCAAGGGCTTTTCTTGAATTAGTAAGAGTTTTAAGTTGTCTTATATCAGTATATGTACACCTTTGGCTTATATATATATGTATATATATACGATGACTGATTGATAAGTCGCTAGCCTCATATTCAATGGTTTGGCTTTTGGCGGGCATGTTGTATTATTTTTCAACAGAATCCTCTTCAGTATCTACAAACCATTACCAGCAATGATTAAGGTCTCAATTCAACTTTTAAAGAAGTCATTTTCTTTAACGTTAGGAAATCGTTAATGCAGCCATGGCAATGACAGACTTGTGAATAGGGGCATTGTCCTGGAGGAACAGTACACCTTTACTGCAGAGTTTCCCGCGCCGCTTGAGTTTAATATTTTCACTTAGCTGTCTTAGAGTTAATGCATGATATCTGCCATTGATTGTTTGTCCTTTTTGCAGATAATCTACCATCAGAATACCATCGGCATTCCAGAAATCTATAACGTTTCCAGCTGATGGAACTGTCTTCTTTGGCGTTATCGGTGATGATGGGATGGTTATCTATTAATTGTCTACACGTCGCAAGAACATCTAGAGATAGGAGGAGTCACAGAAACGGAAAACCTGTAACAAACCAAACAACTTTCTATAGTAAACATAAGATTGAAGTTTTGTAAATCATGGATGTTTATTAAACAAAATCCACAATTGGTCAAAACGTGGACATAATTCATGGGGTGCAAGAGCAGTTCGATTCAGTGAAAAATATAATTTACATAAGATTTTGGAATCCGGAGTCAAGCACACGTCACATTGTTTAAGTTCATTAAAGCTAATGTTAGACAGAAGGACGAATGCGACGGGTTCGGCCAACTTTGAGATGACTGTGGCCATGTAAGTGGGAACAAATTGTGTACACAACAGATGTACAAGGGCAGATCATGTCTAAATATCACCATAGTGCTCTAGTCAATTCTAAGATGTAGTCTTTATAGAAGACCTTCAATTCCTCCATAAGAGCGGTTTTGTCTTTGTTTTGCACTCACTCGGTTGAGACTGTGAGTGAGTGTCCTAAGATTGAGCCTATTCCATCTTATGAAAAACATTCTTCGGACCATGAAAGCAGTAAGTTGATAGTTTTCGAGGACAGTTATCATTTAAAATTAGCAAAGAAACAATTTTTAAAAGTCTACTCAGAAAAAAAAAACATTTCTGAATAATGTGGCATATATTGAGAAAATATGACACAAAACAAATGTCGTCATGACACTGTCCATTTGGTATGATACACAGATCATAATAACCAATACCTAGGTTTTCTATCAAACTTGGTTTGATAAAGGAGTAAAAAAGAGAGTCTCTAGAGACGTATGATTTTTTATTTCCAAGATCAAATATATTGCAACATGCACTGAAAAAAATTCCACTATTTCAGATTTAGATAAAGCCAGTAACTGCTTTAAAAACAACAAACGGTGGATAATTGAAATGGCTTCAGGACAAATTTGTTCATAAAAACTAACTAGCTATAATTAGTTTCGTCGCAACAAAAATTAATGTATTTATGTTTAACAGTCCATTATGTTCCCTTTGTAGACAAGATAGAGAAACTTTTTTTAATATCCTATGAATGTTAGCATGTGGATACTGCTTATAAATGAGATATCTGATAAAGCTACAATATAATAATGTGTCCAAAAATACTTTCCTATCGGGAAAATTAGCCTATACGAAATGCGATATCCATAACCTTTTAAGTAACATTACAACGAATGGAATATACTTCTAGTGTTGAAGGCGTCGATAAACGAAGTATCTTCCGAAATCTTTTCAAACAATCGAATTCATACGAATGTCTTAATCTATTTTTTTCTTCTGTTGTATACGTAGGGTAATTGTTCTGAGATACAATAACTTCTTTCTTTTTTTTTTTTTTGCGATTCAGGCCCAGCCTTTTGATTATTTAAATGTGCATCTGATTCCCATGGATGGCATGATAAATCAAGAGTTTGAAGTGAAATATAATTTCTGTTTGTGTAGCTACTGGATTGAGACTTATTAGGTTAGGAAATACTTGAAATAAAATTGGTGTTAGTTTTCATTGCATTGCGTTTTGATACAAATGCAATTTTAGTATCATTAAAGTACCTTGTATGTGAATATACATTTTGTTAATGTGTTAAAAAATCTCAATAAAAGGGGGAAAATTTCGATAGTCACTCCATTTCCCCTTTATCCTATAGACCTTTCTTTGTATAAAATGTGTTCATCAAACACGGCGATGATTTAATGGTGTGGGACAACGAGAAACTGGAGCTCTTTAATCGTGGAGGTAATAATGTACCTTTACTTCCGGGTGAGTTTGCTTCTGGATTGTATAGTGAAATCTGCAACAGTTCAATGTCTAAACTCTTTCCATGTTTGTATCAAGGTAAAAAAGGCGATGGAAATTATAAATTTTATATTTTATGCAAATTTTGAAATATCTGACAGCACCGTTAAGGTACAGACCTACAGAACCAATACTAATTACATGTCGAATTGTCGACTAACATAAACATGAATCTTCGGGCAAACGGCGATAAGCCAAGTCATAAGATTTTGACACAATGCTTTACTGATATAAAAAGCTTACTCGTGTTTTATTTTAGAACTATATGTATGTGTATTTCATATTTCGTTAATAGAGATTTTAAAATGGTTCATAATGTATATGTTATGGAAACCAGATATAAAAATCTAACATTTTGTGAAAAAATGTGTTCTGGGAGGAATAAGTGTCTTGAGACTTTTGCAAACAGCATTTTGGTAATAAAGATTTTTAATAATTCTGTTCGTATTATACGCTTTACACTCATGTCTTAGCTACATGAAAAAAAACTATTAATTGTATTTGCCCAACTGAAATACACAGCTGAAATTAATGTACGGAATGTACATAACGAACACTACACTGAATTACCACTTAGGAGTGATTTTCCTTCCGAGATTTATGCATGCCCAACAATTCATTGATGTATATTTTTCATGATTCTTTTTGTATTGAACACTTGACACCGATGTCGAACAACATCCTGATTTACTGACCAAAAAGGCCCAAGTTTCATTCCTCCCAGGACATTCATTATGTACACCAAGATCAGAGTGACTGGTTTTAGTTTATAACCATAATTGTCATATTAATTCATTATCTGGTTGCCTCTAATTTTTTTTGACATCCTGAAGAGCATTTCTAAATCTGCCATATTAAGGAAGATATGAATTCTAGAGCTGTATAGTGTTATGTACACGAGAAATACTCACTGCCAAGGGAGGTTTAATTTTACCATAATTATTTAAGAAACATACTCTAATGCTATAAAGACTCAAAGTCATGCTGGGATGCCACAAGAGTGACCATAAAGGGTAAAAGAGGACCCTGGATAATGCAATGTTCCCAGCTAGTTAACAGTTAAGAGGTGCATCACTGCTATATCTGGATGATATCAGTTATGAACTCTGTTGAACAAGTTCAGAAATAAGAGACACTTGTATTTTTATTTTTTATAATTGAGCATGCTGTATACCAAAATCATTGTTTTAAACGGTTTTCATATGAAGGTATTTTTTATTTCTTTTGTTATTTCTGAAAAGCAACTGTATCAAATCTTGTTAAAGCCATAAAAATCTTAAAAATGAAACTAAAACCTAGACACAGTTCAAATGAAAACATGTTTTTCAATTGCAAAAGAAATGGTTCAAAATTGGGACCAAAGGCAGATTCTCATCATAAACCATTTTGGTTATTTTTTTCTTAACATCGAGTGATCATTCCCAGTGTGCTTTGTTTATGGGTTAAACAATTAACAATGCATTGATTCGGTTTCCCTAGTTCTTCTACCTGAAGAATCAAGATGACCTATAGCCATGATATTTCATCAGTTGTTGTGTGCTTGCTGCATTTTGCTGTCTGCTATGCATGAACTTTTTGCATTCTAAACTTCTTCTCAAGTTTAATCTTTGGGATCAAGCTGAAACTTGCCTGAAATGACCATGAGATGGTCCTGACCAAGTCTTGTTATTTTTCGAGTTGGTTGAAAATCATGTATGGCCACCATCTTGAAAAACACATTTTATAAAGTCTTCTAAAGTTTCATTGGTGCCATTGAGCTGAAAATTGATGGGGGATGGTAAAGAAGAAGTCCAGAAATTATTGTTTTTTTTTCTGGCTCGTTGAAAGTTCAGTGTGGCAGCAATTTTGTAACATATTTGTTCAGTCATGGTTTCAGTGAAGAGCACCTATTTTAAACTTCGTTTCAAATTTCATTTGTGGGATTTAGCTGAAAGTTGCCCGAAAAGATCCTGAGATGATCCTGATCAAGTCATGTTATTTTTCAAGTTGGTCCAAACTCAAATATGGACACAATCTTGAAAAACACAAAAGTCCTGTGTACAGAATATTTGTGCTGTAGTAGTATAAAGTTCAGAATCTCCTAAATTCTACTATATATATTTATACTTTGATTTTCAGCTTGATCTTCTAGAAATAGAGTCATGAAATGATGGTTGACTGATCAGAATCATTACTATGGCTGAAGACAGGGAAATAATGCGGGAGATTTGGGAAGGACGAATACCGGTATGTTTCTCCATATCTCTTGAGGACGTGGAATCAGAAGAACCAGAATCTGTCTATGTAAGTGTTGTTATTAGTTTCTGATATATATTTAGCAATGATCAGTCTTATTCCAATGAACCCTTGTTTTATTCTCACCTGTTGAAACTTCAACTCTACATTCAAACCAACATTTAATTCAGTTGGTGTATAATATATGGTACTGCACATACAATTATGTACATCATTTATGTTAGCTCTTTTCAGGATATTTTGGTTTTATATTTTGTCATAATAATGTCTGTCATTTGTTAATAATTTCTGGTTTTTTAATGCTTGATCTTCATCCAGATTTGTTAGTCTTTGCATAAAGAAATATTTGCTAAGTATCAGGGATTTGTAAAGAAATATAATGGGGTTTTCTTTTAAGAGGAAATTTCACTGACACATAACTAGGATTATTACTGCTTGTATGTAAGTTTTTGTTTTACGACTAGCATTCTCCTAAACTTAAACCAAATTAAGATACTCTGTATCCAACATGTGTTGTATATAAACTTATAAAATGTATATTGTGATTCAAGAATAGGAGATTCACTATTTACAGCCAACCTACACATGATCTCATCTGAATCAATATGTTTCTAGTAAAGTCAACAGAAATTTCAAATGTTTTACTAAGCTTTATCACACAGAAGTTACAATACAATTTATATGTGTTTGATTTACTATGTCAATTTTTGTTGTCTATTCTCAGCTGATGATGCCTCGTCTAAGTTACTTCCCTTTAGTAACCGACAAAATCCAAAAGCATTTTATCAAATATATTTCGTCTGAAAAGCAGGGTGAAATGTGGCTTGAATATGAAGGCCAACCGTTGAAATGGTAAGTAGAAAATTTTGTTTTATAACCACAATGGAAGGAATTAGAACGTAAAGCTGTAGGATCTTCGTTTATATAAAATTGCTCTAATGTACAATCATGCCACCACTAAGTTCCTCTTTATAAATTGAGATGTATTTAAGAGATAATTTTTCTTTTTGGTTGTTTACTGGTGTGTATACAGCATTTTAACAGATGTTTTAGAAGACACTTTTATGTTGAAATATTGGTAGAGAAATGCAGTTAACACACCCACTAACAACAAAAAAAAAAAAAAAATACACATATTTACATTTGGAAATTTCCTTTTTTTATTCATGTTATTTGAAAAAATGAAAGTCATTTATTGCATGTTATACCCACTGATGGAACAGTCTGACAGCTGACAATAGCAAAATAGCTGATTCCTGTGTGGTGGGAAAGGTTATCATTACTACAGTACACAACAACATTGTTGTATTCAGATGTAAGTCACATCTACCTAATAATGAATGGTAGATTTGATATTCAGTTGTAATTTTACCTGCATTGTCTTGGTAATCTAAACTTTAAGGGGAAAATAATTGTCTTAATATTGTTAGTATTATTTGATATAATGTTACTTATATATATGAAGTTTTGACAAAAGTATGTATTACAAATTGTTAAGATATGATATAGTTGGTCCTACAGGTTTATGTAGATGTAGTGTATATCTGTTACAGGCATTACCCTATAGGCCTCCTGTTTGACCTGTTTGCCTGTAATGATATGCTACCTTGGTGTGTTACTGTACATTTCCAGGTATGTAATCAAAATCCTTTCTGTACATAAGTGTCTTTCAAATAAGTAGTTCATACAATTGCATCAGCTGAATCTTCAGGGAATCATCAGGTGAAGATCTGAACCAAGGCTAGACTGCACAATATTCAACATGTGAAGCTTAAAGGGGCCAGCCAGATCTCTCTGAAACTAACTTGCTGCATATCACTAACTTTTTAAAATTTCTGCATAAAGAAGGGTCAGTGCATGCACCTTTCTCTGGAAATACTATGATATTCAGTATGGGTTAAATAAGACATATACTGTGACTGGGTTATAGTTTTCTTTTTGACAAGAAATTCCAAAAATGTGCATTTTGATCTTTACATGAGTACAGGTAATAGAACCAACACTGTGTGTTTTAGTTAGGTGGTTTGTAGGTTCCTCCACTCCCCAGCTGGATACCCACATGTATGCAGGGTGATTGAGCAAAAGGGAGAATCATACTGTAAGTACCAATCACAACTGGCTGCGGAGCGTTTTTTTCTTCAATTTATTAAGTACTGTCTACCAGTTTCACCCTTCCTGGCTTCTTCAGGACCTGTTGTGATTGGTACTTACAGTTTGACCTTTACATGTAACATTTTCAACATCAGGCACAGTGGTGTTTGTTTATTGTGGAATTATTCTGGGTAACCTGAACCATTTTATCTGGGTTATCCTGCTAAGCATCCTATATCTCCATACAAGAAATTAAGATCAAAGAGATATTTCATATTGTGATGTTTTTTTTCATTAAATTGAAGTACCATAAACTAGGAAGCTAATGCTTTAGAATGTAACATTATAATGTATTTGTATGCAATAGAAAGTAAACATCCCTGAATATCACGAAATATAATTTTCAACTACATTTGATGCTAAAGAATATTGTAAATAGCCAATGGTATTTGCTGTAGTACTTCTTAAATATAAAGTATACATCATTGTCTATGAAAAACCATAAGTTTTTTTCTACAACAATAAAACACAAATGAAAAATACTTCACAATGTTCTAACACAAATGTACAATATAATATATATATGGTAGTTTGTAGTTGAAGGACATTTCACTTGACATACATTTCTATACTGTGCAATATCCTATCAAGTGTGGATTCTAAATTCTATAAGTCTGGAAATTTAGTTAGACACATTACTGAACAACTGTTACATTTATAAAACTTTTGTGGACAGAATTTTCCTGAGGAGGACCTTCTACACTGCAACAGTAAGGAAGTGGTAGAGTCTCACTTTATCTCTACAGTAAAGGAAGCCGACACGCTCAAACATCGCGGCCAAGTCATCAACAGCATGCAGAAACGTGATCACAAACAGCTCTGGTCTGGGCTCCTACATGGTAAGTCTAAACTGCTACATGGTAAATCTGCAGGTCTAAAATGTACTGTCGTGTCACGGTCAGTCAAAGTCTTTAAATACCTTGGTAGGTCCAACACTACATGGTTTCTCTTAAGCTATATATATATATATGGTAAGTCTTAAATAGTATATTATCATAATGAGTCTAAAAACCCATATGATAGTTAAACTTCCTATGTAGTCAGTCTTATTTCGTGTACTTTTATGTACTGATTGCCTAATACTTACAAGGTTATACACATACTCCTTTTCAGAAAAGTTTGATCAATTCTGGTCAGTCAACAAGAAATTAATGGAGTCCACAGGAGAAGATATGTTTAAAAATATTCCCTATAGACTATATTTGGTAAGTAACTTTATTATCACTTTTCCCAGTGTTTTAGATCAAAGAAACACAAGAACAGTCAGCTCCATCTCTATCCCTTCCCCAATCTCCTACTGTCTATGTTCGCTCATTGCTTTTCCCATATGTCTCATTTTTATACTCCCCAAATATTTTTGGAGGAGCATATAGTCGCCGCCTTGTTTAGAGCATAATTTTGCCCACAGCTTAGTAAGGATCATGAAACTTGGTGTATGCATTGATCATACAAAGGCAATGTGCGTTGTACCAATGTTAGGGCTGGCATCCCATTAATTACAGAGTTATTGCCCTTTGTTAAAATCTTTTGCCCAGAGCATTACTTTGCCTGCATTATTCATACAAAGGCAATGTGCAGTGTAGCAACGTCACGGTCCATGATACCTCAGTACAGAGATATTGCCCTTTGTTAAAATTCTGTGTCCTATAAAGTCATTTTCGGAGAGCATTCTTCAGTTTCTCTGACACTTTTAACCAATATCTTCTCATCTGTTTAAAAGCCTTAAGACTGTGATAGTGGACATTAAACCTATTAAATAAATACATCTCTCTACAAGGTGAAATTAAGAATAATGCATAAAACATGATCAATTACATGTACCAGGTTATCTTCTCTCTGGCATTGTGTGTAGTCCATCATCTGACATGTGTCAGCAAATCATGCACATTTTGAACTTGAAGCAATCATGATAAAGGTGCACCATAATTGTGAATTATATGGTCTTCACTCCCCAGGGGCTTGAGGAGTATGGCCAAAAATGATCATATCACTTTGCTTTTAAAAATCTTCTCAATTCCAAGAAGTGCTTTACCAAAATGGTGAATTTCACAACCCCAGGATCTCTTTACCCTTTGTGGAAGGAGTAAAGTTTATTATAGTTTATTGAGAAAACTTACATTTTTTAACATTATTTAGTTTTCGTTGCCTTGGAAATAATTCAGAAAAGGTTCGGCTATGTATATGGTTTGGCAGTCTAATGTTAGGCACATTCTACAATTGTGTTATATTCCATGTCGTTCAAACTAACTAAATACACATTGATATACTATGAAACATGTTCATCTGACAAACTTTTATACCTCAAGGTATAGTCACTTGCTATTTAAAAGAAAATTCCTTTGCGATAGATAATGTACATGTGGTCATGTACCTATAAGTGTTTAGCACATTAATATGAGTTATTCCTGCATCTGTTTTCAAATTTGACAAAATCTAAATCTTACTGGTAAACTGCAGTAGACCATGCTGCAGACAGATTCCAAATGTTTGATATCAGCTGGAAGGCATAGATGTGATTCCAAATGTTATCGACTGATGTTGGCAAGACATCTAAATCAGGTCATCAAGTAATTTTGCAAATATATGCTATATAAAGGGCTGCAGACTATGGTGAATCACTGCTACATGTATTTGAATAGATCTGGTGCTGCTGAAAATGAAATTTGAGCAAAACTAACAGTATTCATACAGATTCTTTCATTAATTGTTAGTAACTGAAAGTTAAGATATTAAAACTGCTAATTCTCATCAGTTCCTCATACTGTTATGTTACAGCCTGAGAGGTCATATATACAGCAGTTATTTCGACCTATTAATACAGAGGGTTACAATCAGACTCTCCGTGACCTTCTCATGGAAGTAGTGCCTAGCATGTGGAATGAAGGTAGGTGGTAAATTTATAATATGTAAGCCAGCATCCATTGATTCACATTGGCTTTAGCTTAATAGAAGATCTCTTTAGCTGAATGATAAATTGCAGGTAGCATTTTTACTAGGATTACAGTTGCTTTAAAACTCTGATCTATTGTTAAAGAAATTTAAAAAATAGGATGTTAATATGATTTAAAATCAGTAGCAAAATTGTCACAGATAAAATGTTTTTTCTTGTTTTGATTTAAAAATTTTTTTTTTTGTTCGTAGATAAAACATTTTCAAGAAGAGTTGTGATACATGGTGTGGAGCCCTGCCTTGATACACCCCTGCTTTGGATGTCGGAACATCTTAGTTATCCAGATAATTACCTCCACATATGTTTACTGGACAGACCTAAAGTGGAAAAGGGGTGACAACATGATAATCAACTAGTCTGTATTTACGCCAATTAATCTAACCAAACCATTGTATGAGTTTCTGAGTCAGTAGTATAGTTAACCAAAGTTCAGTATGTAAATTTGTATTGAAGAATATCTTAAAATGCTCTCTGCATGTTGAGTGAAGTATGTATGAAATACTTCATGGGAGTTTAGCTCTTTCCCATGAGAATGTTTTTAGTTTATAGAAACAAACATGTAAGATGAACTGGAAGTCTGTCTCTGCATTACTATCTTAATTCACAAATACTTTTTAGCATTATTTCGAGTTGTATAGGTGAACTGTTTAGTTAAATTCTTTTTTACTTTATTTAAAGTTTAAATAACATAAGAACTAATATTTAAAGAGATTAACAATCTAAAATTGGTAAATATAACTTAATCCTGTTTTTGTAATTCAAAAAAATCATTAACAATTTGTGATGTTATTTGGCAAGTCTGAAATGAGAAAAAGAAAAAAAGAAAAATGTCTTCATTTAATGATGATAAGTTACCAACAGAGATTGAAGATAAGTAAAAACTCAGACGGCCTCTTCTTTTACAATTCTGAAAAATTTTTCATGGATTTATGTGAGAGTTTGCAAGACAAATGTCCTCTTTAGTCACTCCCACAATAAATATTGTATCATATGAACGGGTTCCCGTTTTGTATGAGATTTTATGAAACAGGTCTTAGAAGATTTTAATTTGCAAGATCTTTTTAGCAAAATTTAAAAAAATTTAGGCAATTTTCATAAAATCTTGTATGAAAACAAATTATAGATAATTTTTTTCAAATAACAAATAACACTTATTATATTTTGACAGGTTTTAGAGGCAAAATGCTGTTGATGGCAAAATCAGACCCAAGCAACTGTTTTACTTTACCATTTTCAATACATGACATAATGTTATTGTCCATATATGACAGAACAATAAATATCTGACTACCAGTCAATTGAATATTTCATGGTATTTCTGTTATACACTTATGTTGTAGATGAAAAATATTCACGAAAAATTTACTGGATAACTGGCTAATAATGTGATAAATATGTTTTGTTTTACCTAAACTAGCTTTAAACTATCATAAGTAGGATAATTAACCCAAACCATTGATATCATAATACAGGATTATTGTACTGCTGTCTGGTTGTATATTCAATTTAAACTTTTTTTGTTAATGTTCCTGGATATTGTGTCTGATGATTCAATTTATGATAGAATTTCATAATCTTCAAATGTAAGAAAAGTGATGTTCAGACCTGAAAAAAGAAGATCTCTAACCTCGTGTTTTATTTTCCGGTGAGTGATTTACATCATATTGACCTTCTGTTGATGATGTTTATACACAACAGAATGGATTACAGCTGTGACATGTTTCCAAAGTCAGACATTGATGTCATAAATCTTTGTATTTCATAGTTATTACATGTATCATGATACAGGTTGAAGTGTTTGTATTAACAGGAAATCTAAGATTTTTCTGATAATTTGAAGCATTGATATTTGTGAAAAAAAGGTTTTTTTATAATGATAGGTTTGATGTAATGTACGTTAGGCCTTTATTTCAACATTTCTGTTTGTATTTTAAGTTGAGTTTTATAGCTTTCTTTAAAACCATGAAACTAATAGACAGTAATCAAAGTGTTCACCACACATACCATTGTCTATATAAATATATTCTGTAGTAAAACTTTTACTTCATATATCACTTTCATCAAAAAGTTGTCATGTCATTGTATGTAAAAGACAGTTTTCTGAGAGTGTTGAAAAGTTCTCTTAGCACATGTTTGTATTGATTGTTTTAAAATTATATGTTCAAGTTCAAGTATTTGATTTGATGTATTTTTGTGAAACTTTAGAGTGAAGTTGTACATGTATAGATGATGTATACATGTTACTGGTGTGTGTGTATGGGGTGGTGTTTAGATGTGTGTGTGTGTGCAATGTACCGAGTGGGAGACAGAGGGAGATTATGTTCAATAGTGCTGCCTTAACCAATTACTATTAAAACAAGATACAAGTAATAGTCACAATTTTATCCCAAGTTGGTCCACATACAAACAAATACTTAGTTTATTCATTTGAGATATCATGCATCTATTCGGTCAATGAAAATTATCTGTAATAGAATTATCATGATATATATTGTGGAAACTCATGTGTAATTATAGCCCAGATGCATCTTTCAAATAAAATTGACAAACACAGACATAAAAACAACTTCCAGTACTAAGTGTAACCAAAAAGGTCCTCCAAGCTTGTAAAACCACTAGCATCACTAATCCTGGACAGGAGGACAGAGATTTCAGAAAAATATACACAGTGTTTTTGCACATTATAATGAGGATAAATTGTGTTTTAAAATTGTGACAACATATCGTGATTATACTCTTGCAAATATCAGTTTTATTGGTTCCGGATTAGCAACATTATAATTGTGATCAATAGATGCTAACTTCAATATTATACCTTAATTTGTAAACATGTAAAAATACATTGTGATCAGTACATGCAGAATAAGCTGGTGTTACCACTTATAATGTTCTCAATAGCTTTTATGTTAGTAATATGAAGTTGTTTTACCTCTGACTTTTGTATTTTCAGAAATGAATGAAATTAGTAACTTTGTGTTATGGCCTGTGGAACATATGTCCTTAAAACACATGTAGTAAATTGACAAAAATGTCCCTAGTTTATTTGAAATACATGTATGTGATACTAATTATCTCCCTTAGTACATATACTTTCCATCATATGGATTGCCATAGAGGCCCATATCTTTACTTTTACAAATAATTTATTTCTATTTCCTCTTTCTGAACTTGTGATATTTTGTCAATCCTAAGTTGACGTTGAAACACTGAAATCCATACAACGTTTGGTTAGCTTAAGATCAAGAGTAAACAAATTTGTAGAATATGAAATCTTTTTATGTTAAGTGATGGTAGTTGTTCAGCTAAGGTGATAGGTTACTGTTATTCAATAAAGCAATTTGAAATTTGATTCAAAGTTTATTTGTTGGACTGCTTAGGGAATGGTATTTTCTGAAATGTTTTGAGATATTAAGTATGAATTCAGTGTGTGTATCGTTGTAGAGGCACACCAGTAATAAAAGTTGTCACTTTTCAATCATATATATAATCTTTGGACAAATAAATAATAATTCTATCAGAATGACTTTCATGTATGAGTTACTTTGTGTTGTATTTGTATGTTTATGTAAATCTATCAGAATAAATAATGATGGCATGGAGTAGTTACCAAACTCTAATTGATGTCAATATGAGGAAAATTACAGAAATATTATTTCAAATCTAAATGCTCCATGGTAAAAACATCTGTTTTTAATTTCTATTTCATTTTCGTCAGTTTATCAATGTTTCATTGAATTTATATGGAAATTAAATTGCTATTTTGGTAACTATGAAATGTTAATTGGAAGGAATAGAAATGATAATTATTAATCATGATTATTGTATATCTTAAACTATGTTGTTTGTAAGTGTTTATCAATATAAATTTTAGTAGTTCATCATATACATATGTAAATCTGAAGCAGGGTCACATTCTGTAATTTAGATATGACTTAAGTTTAGTTTTAACTTGTCAATTAGGATTACTTTAAAGTCAGAAGAAAAAGAATAACCTGTGTAGAAGTAACTGTCATTTCAATTATTACAGAGGAGAAGTAAAACTGAAATCTAAAGTGATACATTTCAGTGTGTTACAACATATAAATATTGTGGATAAGCTAATAGGGTGGAATTTGAAATATTAAAAGTTGGTTTTAAAGTTATTGAAATAAAAAAAATCTAAACAGATCATGTAAAATTAATCTGATTTGATTTGCCCAATCTTATCACCAACTGAGATATCCCCAGTGTTTATATACAGTTGTAGGGTATCACATGAAAACAAGGGTTGTCTGAAGAAAAGAAATACAACTACAGTAAGAATCACTTTCTAGGATAATCCTAAATCAAAAACTTTGTAGAAAATAACTCATGACTTCAACATTACAGGTTCAACCGCCCTTAAGAACTTTCTCTCATAAAATGTTTTTGTATCACTCTTCCCTCCCAATCAGGATCTACTTTCTGTAGATTTCTCACAAAATCTTAAAGTGTTTGTCCCTATATTTTTATCTAATGGCATCCCAGACAGAAAATAGATGTGGTGTAACATTTCATGTTCCATAACATTGGTCTACAATTGAGTTTAAAAGATCTACTTATAGTTTGTAGTTGTGTATGTATTTCAAACATACTTTATCCGTATCCTACTATTCATTATTGATGAGATATACACCATATTTCAGTCAACAGAATTTTTTTTCTAGTCATACACTCAAAAAACTACCAATTCAATTGATAATGGTGGAACACTGGAGCAGTAATAGGGTGTTTGTTAAAAAGTTCAGGTTAATCGAAGAACGAATCTAGACATTTTCATGTAAGTACAACCCCAAGAACTGTCCTGAAATTTGACCTTAAGAAATGTCATGTTTCAAATGAATTCATATACATTACCAAAGTAGCCGTCATCTTACTGAAATCTATAGGATGTTACGGCTTAATTTGTCTATTAGAACTCATGAGTGTAAAAATGTCCAGCAAAATGAGAAAAATACATTTGCTGTTTGCTGCATAATACTTTGTATGAAAAGGAAACAGGGATGAGGCGTTATTAATAGGATAATCAAAACAACCATGCTGTTAAAGCCTCTTTATGTTTGGATTTTATCATGTTTTAAAATTCATTTAAATTTCGCTTCTTAATCACCGATATAGATTTTCATATATTTTTCATGAAATAGGCTTGAATTAATAAACAACAAATTCATGTATCTTTCTTTTGTCCATTTTGTGCCCGATTTTGATAACATGTTGGTATTTTATTGTTTAACATTGCTTGTTAATATAGGAGGAAAGTTGAATTGAAACACATTAAAGGTGCTACCATGACCCTGTCTGATTCGCGGAACAAAAGAAATAAGTATCAAACCAATGTAAAATCTCCTTGGCATTAACAAATTTATGTGTTACTTTGGAATCCCATATTTTGCCATCCACATTGGAATACTTTCTTGGGAAAATATGCAACGAGCATTTATGTGAAACTCGTTTCTAAGGTCTATTTGATTCTTGTACATTTAAACATTTTATGTATACAAGTCAATTAGTTTTGCCTGAGACAAATTGGAAATGCCGTAGATATAAAGGTACCTGTAGTTCTATTTTTAGCTCATCTGGACTGAGGGATTAAAGCAAATTCTTTAAACTCTTCCTTTTTAGGAATGCAAGGATTTTCACTTAATTTAGTCTGAGGCATAATTAATGAGTGAAGGAGATAAATTTTGTATGAACGGTGGGTCTCAGCCTCCTGGGGTCTTAAGATGTGGGCCTAATAGGGGGAATAGAGCAAATTCTCTTGTAGTAATTACAGCATTATGTCCCAATTTGGTCTAAACCCTTGGATGAAGGGAAAACATTTTTTTTGTAAATCCTGATTGGGCGGAGGAATGTGGCCAAATACAGAAAATAGAGCATTTTTTAAAAATCATTCTCCTTTTGAAGCAATGCTAGGATTTTGCCCAAATTCAGTCGGAATTATTTTTGGATAAAGGGGGATAATATAAGTCGCGAGTCTAAGCCCAATGGACAGGAAGGACAGGGCCCAAAAAAGGAAATAGAGAAAATTCGTTAAAATCCTTCTCATTCAGTAGGAATGTCAGGATTCTCTCCAAATTTGGTCTGAATCATCATTGAATGAAGTGAAATGATTTTGTATAAACCCTGCATTTGGGCCCCTTGGGGCAGAAGGGGCATAACCCCTCCAGCATATGTATAGGGTCTAGTAGGTTTAATGAAGGAATAGCTAGGAAGGTCCGTCTTGTTCTGCTGTGTTGAAAATTAATTAAGACCATTTTAGTCTGAAGCTTTATTTGATTAGGGGATTTTAATATTGTATGACTTGCGTCGAAAAGATTTTAAATAATTCTTCCGTCTATATAAGTCGTTGTGACCAAAACAAACCGGGTGAGCGGTATAGACTCTATGGACTTTTTGTTTCCTTATGTGATTTTTCCGGAGAGAGTTTTTCGTTATTTATTTTGGTGTATGCATGTTGTCATGATTGAAATATTAACTCTAGACTTAAATGAAATCACCCAAGGACGATGTAAAGATAATGGATGTTACACACCTTTTTATTGTAAATGGAGAAGTATGCACCCAATTCAAATGTTCACTGAACGATAGTTGAAGCTGACTGGAGAACCATACATTTTGAATGTTAAGTTACTGATTTGTGATAACTGCTGGATCAGAAATCCGCAAATTAAAGGTATGCAAATGTGATATTTTTGTGTCTTTTTCCATATTAAATTACTTCCCAAATTTACGAGAGACCTTCTGCTCCTGTTTCTACAGAATGAACGTCTTGGACATTTATATCCAAGCTTTACATGTATTACCTACGGTATAGAAGCTGATTACAATAAAAATGAATTGTCATTAGACAACTGATAGGTCTACGGTTATTCCAGATTGTCAAACACGGTGTATCAGTTATTAATTTCCTGTTCAGAAAATACATACAAACTCAGAATATTAACTGTAATGCTAGCATATAGCAGAAACCAGTATTCTGTTGTGCCAGATTGAAGACACGGGAATGAAAAACGCATTTTAATACAAATTTGTAGTCGTATACAGTAGAGCCGAACAAAGAATTAAACTGCATCGTACAGTTGTTTTGTCCTTCTACGACTCGTCAGTGACGTTAAGTAACAGAATTTAAAGTCAGGGAGGCGACTGAAGGAAATCCGAAGTGATTGAAAACATTGTCAGAATCTTGTTGGGCAGGTATTGCCCCATAATTCAATATTCTGAACCGTGCCTCTATTCCAAACGTTTTTTTTTCGGTAATTCGTCGCATTGTCTCTCCCTTCGGTTTCGGCGTCGCTTAAGCTAATGGTTGTTGCGTGGTTGGTTCCAACTTTATGGTATGCATTGATTTTTAATTATGCTATGAAGCGATTGTTAAATTTCGTTTTGGTTAAACTTTTGTATTGACTCGATTACATGGCAACATCCAAGGCGTTTACAAAGAAAATCGATTAATATCCGTTCATTGATTGAATTTTCGGCACAGACTGGTCAACTGAGCATTTTTGGATAAAACATTAACTGCTTGATTAATCTCCATGTATATGTATGATATTTTGTCTTCGAGCCGATTTAAACTCTTTGAAAATAAAAACGCGCAACAAGTATAGAATTATGAAACAATGTCAACAGCGTCAATAACGTCAACAGTGTCAAAAGCGTCAACAGCGTCAATAACGTCAATAGTGTCAATAGTATCAACAACATCAATAACGTCAGCAGCGTCAATAACGTCAACAGTGTCAATAGCGACGATAACATCAACAGCGTCAATAATGTCAATAGCGTCAACAATGCCAATAGTGTCAACAACGTCAATAACGTCAACAACGTGAGCAACGTCAACAGTGTCAATAACATTAACAGTGTCAATAACGTCAACAGCGTCAATAACGTCAACAGTGTCAATAGCGTCGATAACATCAACAGCGTCAATAAAGTCAATAGCGTCAACAGTGTCAATAGTGTCAACAATGTCAATAACGTCAATAGTGTCAACAACGTCAAAAACGTCAAAAGCGTCAATAACGTCAACAGTTTCAACAACGTCAACAGCCTCAATAGCGTTAATAGTGTCAACAACATCAATAACGTCAACAACGTCAATAACGTCAACAGTGTCAATAGCGTCGATAATATCAACAGCGTCAATAATGTCAATAGCGTCAACAATGCCAATAGCGTCAATAACGTCAACTGCGTCAACAGTGTCAATAGCGTCAATAGCGTCAACAGTGTCAATAGCATCACCAGTGTCAATAGCGTCAACAGTGTCAATAGCATCACCAGCGTTAACAGTGTTAACAGTGTAAACAGCGTGAGTGAAATGAAACTTCAAGTGAAAGGAAAATAATTCCGGAGAGAGGTGACCCACTGACTGACAACGTTCTGGTTTGATTTTAAAAAAACGGAACATTTCTGTTATATGACAATGCAATGTCTAAATTAATAGAATAATAGTGTATGACGTTGGTTTAGGCAAGTTATATGATTGTATCAGTAAGTTTGTTTAATAAACCGTTATATAAAACGTACATATCAAGAAATATCTTTCCTATGTAAAATAATAGATCAACATCCCCTCAAATAGTATGGAAGCAATATAACCACACTGTTTTACAGAAAGTATCTTGTACACTGGTTTAATATAATTCCATTTTAATCAATATCGTCATTGCCTACTAAAATGTCTTTAAAGAAATTAATTACAAGTTCTTGATGACAGAGCGTTGTTTGCTTGCTGGGTTTATCGCTCAATGAACTGTAAGATACATTTTGAGGCGTGGCCACCTTTTAGCTGGTAGCTATTTCACTTAAATAAGGAGACTAGTCAAATGTCATCCAGAGCAATAAGGATAAAGTACCACGTCTAAGGACACAACCAATATATCACAGACATATCTGTTTCTCAGGTCAACACAAACCGCCGCGGGTAGGCATCGTTGAACCACAGTCATTGTATCTTCACCTAAAGTTACATAGGCCAGCTCTCTGGCTGTACTATCGTGGCCCCGTTGGCGATAGCTTGGTTGTTCTTGGGACATGATGGCTAAAGTCTGTATCATTGAATCAATAGTCAATGGCGATGCAACAGTGTTGGTGTAAATCTGAACTCTCATATCAACGCGCTTTAAGAATATGAAGAAATAATTCTAAACAATATTAATTGTGACAACAATAAGATGTACGTCTAGAATGATAATTAGCCAATGTGGTTACGTATAATGAGATCAACTTTCCGCAGGAGTACAAGCGCAAGATCAATATTAAAAGTCATTTGCTCTTTTCAAATATTCAAACCCATTTACATAATTGATAGGGGATTATATTATTACATTGCTTAAAGCTTACATTCAGTTTACTTACAGTCTCTCACCTACAGACTGAGGTAATCACTTCAACAACTCTGAGAAACGGTAAATTAAATCTCAGGCTTTGGGTAAAGTAGATAAGAAGAGAATTCACCGACACCTCACTTTCAGGACGTCCGGAACTGGAATTCTTTAACGCCTCGGGCAGACAATAGGTATTACTCTTTTTCTCCATTGTGTAACTGATACATTCCTTAACTTACTCAACGTGTTCCAAATGAAATTTTACATCGATAAAATCTTTACATTTCTTCATATATTAACGAAAATTGCCTTATTTTTTAATCAAGCTAGATGCGATCTTGAATCTAGACATCAATCGCAAGCAGCAGTGTTCGATACGTGAACAGAAGAACTACGTTGTAAGAGGTCATTGGCTCTGATAACACTAACAGAAGGTATATCCAATTCAACAGAATATTCCAACAATAAATGGTGAAAGCATTTCTAATTCGACCACTTCACAACAATTAATTTCGGGAGTTGAGGTCACCATCACAATAGAGTTCTGAGTTTATTCAAATATTTATTAACACTTTTATGTTTGAAAATCTTACAAAATAACAGTGTATAATACGTTATGTACTAATTGAGATACCCAAACGTAACATAAATTTTGCTAGGCTAGTATGAAGGAAGGAACTGGTTATAATTCTAAGTAAGCGAGGATGACGTTACATCGGAATGTTGTTTTTCTCGCGTTCTTGACCTGCTTTGAAGTCCTCACAGATTTTTGACATGATGCGTTGGTCAGCCATGATGTCTATTGCAGTCATAGCCAGAGCTTTGGCCACCGACAACGTGTTCTGTTGTGCCTCCGAGCTTCCTGTAACACACAATCAATGTACTTAAATTACCTACGTACATAGTGTACACTCTACATATGATAGATAAAAATGATATAGTTTCGATAAAAAAAATTGAAAGTTGATGGATATAAACAGATTCAAAAACACGAAAATTTCAACATAACCCAAACTCAAATTTAATAAAACTAGGTTAAAACATGAACAAAAATTGATTTACATAGAGACTCCTGAAAAAGTACAAGGAGAATAAGACAGGTGTTCCGAAAGAGTAAGCATCTTCTACTTCATCGATCGACGACTACCGCCATGTAAATATTGGGCAATTCCATTAAGTAATGTCACGTTCTCAAATGAGAACAAGGTATACAACAAGGGGAGGTCACTTCAATCTCAATAGTGCTGCTACTGGATACCTGTCCTAGTATTACTTACATGCTTGCTATATAAAAAGTAAGCTGTTAACATTACCGTTGTAATTAAGATAGCTGTTACTGTTAATAAGGTTTGTTACCTGCGGCAGGTGTGAATTCCTGGGTGTGACTATTGAAGTCTGTCCCTATCCGAAACTCCGGATGGATAGCAGGGATGAAGTGAGATACGTCAGACATATCCGATGATCCTCCTAGTTTCTTGGTTATTTTCTCCCTCCTTTCAAATTCAATACCGAGGGAGCTTCCATTTTTCTCGTAAAGGTCAACCATGGTCTCGTTGGTCATCAGTGACATGTACTCTTGTCCTGGAACTACCTCCAGCTATGTGAAACAATAATTAAAAAAATGATAAAATGACAAAAATCTTACATATGAACAAATATATTCATTATATTTGAAATTGATATCCATAGATTTATATAGTATAAGCATGACTTCTTTTATATACTGTATTTGGAATACTCTGCCTTAAACTTAAACAAGTAAGAGATGCGTTAAACGATATAAACAGTCTGAAACCTTTATACATATAAGTGTTGGGTTCACGAATCTTACTTTTCGTTCCTAAAAAACCCTTTGCTATATTTTGTTTTGGTTTTTTTTTTCATCATTACAATAATTTGAGTATCGAGGCCCTCATCAGAAAAAAAATCTACTGATTTGTCTTTTAATGACGTCTTCAAGCTACATAACTGTGGCGACATTTTGTCAATTCATACCTTGCAACCGGTAGCACTGGCGGCTCCTTCAGCACACTTCAGCACCTTTTCCTCGAAGACCCTCAGTTCAGAAGTGGTGGGACAACGTATGAAGTAGTCTACCTGTGACTGCCCGGGGATGATATTAGGGCGATGTCCACCATTGGAAATTACACCTTAAAATAAGTTAAACCAATTTACGTTAGAAAAATATTCAACAACTTTTCTTTTTATAAATAGTGTATGTAAAGTTCCACGACCAGACAAACCATACCAGGGTCTCGTAATCCAACGAGAAGTCACTTTCTCGTTAAGTTTGATGTTAAATATCCCCAGTAACGACTCTGTATTTCTTTACACAACCGATACACTGTATGACCAACGTATTGACAAGTGAATAATTGAATATACCTACTAGATTAAAGATTTATCAATAAGGCCAAGAAGCTCTGTGAGACAAATACATATATCTGCTTTCGTTAGAGATACATGACAGAGCGTTAGGCCTCAATTTTCAACTGATAGTGGAAAAACAAAATAGCGTTTCGCGTGTCACAGGATATAAACTGCCGGTTGAATATAATGTTGCTTGATAAATATTAGATACCTAAACATACAGTGCCGTTATATGATTGTACGAAACTAAAATATTGCTTTTTCTGAGTATGTGCTTTAAAACACAGTGGTGCTTTATCGATGTCTCAACATGTTTCTTAGATGCAGGTGTCCAAACACACAGCATTTCCTTTAGGGTGTGAATGTACTCAACATACAATATCGTATGGTATCATCACGTGTGTGAATGCAGAGTACAACCTTCTGTTATGAATATTGATTTCAAACTACCATCTGCCTAAAATCACGTTTTAAGTCTCCATCACTATTTAACGTGGACCTTGTTTCAAATGCTTTTTTTTTAAAATTCTATAAGCAGTAAGGATATGAAGGTATTGCATTGACTGAGTGAGTAGTGACTGAATACATGTTTTGTTGAAGGTCACAAGGCGGTACCATTTGCCGTAAGATGTAGGTGCGCTAATGTAGGGGATTGTACCAGCTCTCTAGTTATAATACAAATCTCAGAAACCTTTTATACTGTTCATCGATGTATTTCTATGACAATTATATGATCGGTTGTCTGTTTGAAGCTGAGGTATTATGGCTTCAATTGGGAGAATAATCCCTGTAAATCTCTCCAATTTTACTGTCTTACGCATCATGATTAGCGCGACAGTTCCCATGGACAAACTAAATGTTCACGCATTTAGCGGAGAAAAAAATCATTTGTGTGGACGATAATGAGACAGCGGCTGAATCGTTCCTTTAAGTATGCCTGACGGATCCATTGTGACCACGCCTGCTCTCATTAAAAGATCGTGACAATACCGAGATCTGAACTAGATTTACATGGTTAGTGTCAAAGCGGCAGACATCCATACAACTCCGGACGCAAAATTTCCGATTTTTAACCAATTTATATATATGTGTGTGTGTTTTGATTTAAACATATTTTAATTGTACAAAGTATACAAGCAGGATTGGGCACAAGTTTTCTAACTTATATAAAGCCCTTTCCTATAAAATTTTACATAATACGTATTAGCAAGACAAGACGACATGTTTAAATACAATTATAATATACGAAAAAAAAAAAACGAGAGAGAGAGAGAGAGAGAGAGAGAGAGAGAGAGAGAGGGTGTGAGAGAGAGAGCGAGAGAGAGAGAGAGGGAGAGAGAGTGAGAGAGAGAGAGAGAGTTTAAATAACTTCATGTAGAGCGGTCTCTCCTGATACAAACAACACAAGTAAAAATACAAAACGCTTTTGTGTGTGTGTCTGTCTGTCTGTCTGTCTGTGTGTGTGTGGTGTGTTTGTGTGTGTGTGAGGGTGAGGGTGTGTTTGTGTGTGTGTGTGTGTGTGTGTGTGTGTGTGTGTGTGTGTGTGTGTGTGTGTGTGTGTGTGTGTGTGTGTGTGTGTGTGTGTGTGTGTGTGTGTGTGTGTGTGTGTGTGTGTGTGTGTGTGAGGGTGTGGGTGTGTGTGTGTAAACCCGCTTGATTCTTTTTATGATTTTTTTTTCATGACTTTGTTCATAAATTTAGGAGAGTTTGTGTTGGATTATCGCGTAAAAGTGAGCAAGATGTCGGGATGTTATTCAACTATCTGTACCGCTGGAAACTATTCAACGCTTCCTTACAGATGTCGTTCAGAGCAACCCTTGTGGGTAAAATATCCTTAACATTGTTCATACATGGTGCTATTGAATATTCTTCTCAAATTTCAGGCGATGGACTTTGCTGGTGATTTTACACCGTAGGGTTTGCCGTAACGCCGCATGCAACACTTATTTTTATATCAATAGTGGCATTGCTCAAAAGGACTACATTAATTTAAACAGGTAAAATGAAACAAATGGGATGAAATATGAAATAATAATAAAAAATAAATAAATAAAACTCTAATTTTGAAAATGTAAGAAGTACAGGTATATCTAAGGGATCAGGGCATTCTTTCAACCACATTTTAACATTTTCTTTTGACTAATATCGATTTTATTCCTAACCAAACTTAAATTTCTATATTTTTTGTCTTGGGTGTTATTCACGATGCCCGTATTCTACTGATATCCTGGGCCTTGTGACAACGGAAATTTCAAGAAATAAAATAGATGCTATGTGATAAAGTAGTGAAGAATGATGTTAAGATAATGTTTCTATGATTTCCCGAGAGCTGAAGGTATAGTCAAAGCTCGATTTTGCGAGAGTCCCTTTTTTAGTCATCTCTTAATGGGCACATACTTTATGCTCGTGAACATGTTTTTATACATATAAATATATATTATGTATAACTCTTCTTCCCGGTTTTAACTCGACTTCCTAGGTATATATTCAAAACATGTGCTTTTAACTAGTTAGCTAAGGAAAAACTGGTGTCTAGAGAGAAAAATAAGGGTATACATGTTTTGATGAATTGTAAGGACGCGTAAAACAAACGCATTCTCTCATACGAAAATCAAATTTTGTCAAGTCCTTCATTTCCGCCTGGGATGATTTCTGTGAAGAGCTGTTAAGTCTGGTAAGCAATATGAAAGTTTGTAACCTTATCTTCTATTCATCGTAATGCCATTTTATTGATATTACCTCTAATCACGTGACATTTTTAAAGGAGACAAATGATTGTAGTCCGACTTTCGTTTTACCGGTTATACATTAAAATTATGATTCTGCTGACTCGTTGGCAATTTTCTTATTCTTTTATGCGATCTGATGTAATACAACTATTTATGTATTCCTCGTTAAGTTCATCTGATTCTCGGAATGTTCACAGCTTGTCATTTCACACCAAACTAACATAGCTCATTTAATGGATATTTCTGTCATAGTAGAACACATTCCTCCCTTATTTATTGGAAGTAATCTCGATTCTTTTAAAAAGAGATAATCAACTGGAATGCATTCTGTTCTATGGAGTGAGTTTATGTTTGATATCAGGACACATCTCCGCTCCTTGACAACTAACAAGTATTTACTACCTGTATACATGTAGAAATGCCATATAGTCAGCAGTGTCTTCTCTAATAGTGGTGGTTTACATAGTGTTGCTATAATTTATCTAAGCATTGACATAAACTGTGTTTAGACCATTTCTTTTGCGACATGAACACAATAAAGACATTATTTCAGTGGTAAATATAATTAAACATATACTTTTTTTATATTAAAACCTTAACTATTGTTTACCCCTGCAGTGCCATACATTTCTGCTGTGAAAGCAAGAAGATATCTACATGATAACCTAACCTGTATGCACTCTCAAAATCGACGAAAACAGGAAGAAAAACAATTAGCTATTATTGAATCTTCAACTACATACACGACATCCGTCATAGAAATCTTACTCAATCCAAATAAGTGATGTTGCTTTCTTAAATGACAGCCATGTTTATTACACGAAACCACAAAACATACTAACGATAATACATCTAACACGATACGCAACAGGAAATAGAATACTTCCCACGGAGATAATGATGACGGCAGGAAACCTTTCCCCATGTTTTCATCAACTCATTGATTTCGATTTTGTATTTATCTTCTCTAGACATGTCGGCATTTTCATTGTTGCAACTTTTTCAGCTTTACCAATTATTCAGACTCAAAAACAGCATTAGACTAATTCTCAATATTTCATTGGATGAGTTTTAAAGAGTCAGATATCGAGAACTCTGTTTATGATTCAGCTCTAACATTCTTACAGCTTTGTTTTACACTCTGATACAATACTATGACAGTTTTACAGGCTGTAAATGCATTGCTTGAGTTTACTTCTCTTAGTTTGAACCCGACACAATAATTTGATAACCAAAAATTCCTATATTGATCTAAAATGTTGTCCAAGCAGAATGATTAAAATTGAAATTCCATCATTTAGACCGATAGGTCAGGATTCATTGGATATGCACTTAATAAACTAACTTCTAACTTATGAAAATAAGCTTCATTTAGCCACACAGCAATGTTGTTACAGGTTTGATGTGGATGGCACGTAGTTTGCAAGAGGCTTTCTATGTAGCAGAACTAAAATTACTTGGTCCAAACCGACAAGTAGGTTACAAAACAAAGTACTAAAACATCTCATTTTCTACGTTTGTTTGGTAGCATTACCAAGTATTTAAACTGCAGCAGTAACATAAGTAAACAAGTGCCAGTGTAGAAACGTATGAAGTAAAAAACGGAAATAGGCCAAGCTATTAGATATATACCAAACACCAAGGGACCGGATAACGAAACATAACCTGGGGAAATAGAGATACGTTAGAAGCATATACCGTGCACCATCCAGCCTGGTACCATTTGTTGTCGTAGACAAGATATGCTTTGGTAGCAAAGCACAGCTGCGTCGAGAGCATTGATCCCTTCCCATGGCCATTCCGCCGCGTGCGATTCCTTTCCTGTGTATTTGAAATTGATCCTAAAAAGTCAAACATTATATTGTATAGTTTCTGGCAGCTCGTGTATTGTCTGGAGATTTCCAGAGAGTCGGCCTTCGAAAAAAGAATCAAAGGGAACATCACAAACGGCGCCGAAATTTACCTCACTAATGTCAAGCAATTTCTAGGCTCTCCTCACAAACACAGATTAACATTAAAAAAAAAAACTATTATTGAGAATTAGAAAAAAGCGCAAGCACAAAACGGCAAACTCTGAAGGACAAGGCCTTCAAATAAATACTATAAAGGGAAAGAATGTATCAGCTTTTATCAAAACTGTATATCATCACTCTTCTGTCGTCCAAACATATATCGAGTATTACCAAATGTCAGTTCTGTATTGTATGAATACTGAAACGTTTACAGTCGAAATGGAGATATATTTACATTGATGTACCATTGAAAACAGATGGCAGTTTTTGTTATACGTTTATTTGAAAATGTTAAGCGATCTTCATTTTAACAAACTGAAAATACATAATTTTGAAATAATAATAAGAATAATAATCGACACATGATATCAATTTTATCTAATGACCTTATATTCTTTGTGACACAATGCCACAAACCTCCTGAAAAGCAAAATTGACCATATCTCTATTAAAAGAAAATTAGAAAACGAATCGATTGAGAAAATAGTTTCATATTTTGAAAATGATATACAGAGAAACTTCTCCAAATCAACCATGCATAGGACATGAATATTTGGCTGGTTTAGAGAGGGTTCGGAAGCAAGTTCACCAAATGTAATTTAACTGATTTATTACTGTTTATTACATTAACACTTCAGTATTTACACTGCACGTGTCCAACTGAGCACAGAGAAAGAAAGTTTTATAGAGTAAAAATATTTCAGTAAAGTGAAAAAGCAGTGATACTTGTTTTCTATATTTGACTTGAGTCAAAAAGAAATCTGCGCATTGCCTTGCGATCTCGGAATTAAAGCCTCGGTCAGAAGGTCGGCTTATCTGAAATCGGAACTTATTTCGACTCAAACAGAATTTTGTCATTACGAAAAAACTGCAGTGAAAAAATCGAGGTTTGAACTACTTTTTTCAAATGTAAAATGTTCTGAAAAAAAAACCCTCGTCGTTTGCATGTATGGTTTTCAATTGAACTTCTTTCTAAAATAGACTTAATTTGAATAAATGTTATTTACATTGAATTAGCTCCCTGTGGTTTTCGGTATATTTCAATCATTTAGGACACGTCTTCATTCGATTAAAGATGGTTTATGCATAAATTTATTCATTTGCAAAAGCGCAGAAATCAACCTCTAAAAGAAATAGGGTACCTACTCTTTCCGGGCCACGTAATTTGGTTTCAGAAGCTCATACTTAGATGGATGCGCCATCATGGCGACGTCAATTCCTTCAAATGCACCGGCTTTCAGCAACCTAACCTTGCCGCCATTCTCTTCTTCTGCCGGAGTTCCAAGAATAGTCAGCTAGGGTTAATAACAACAAACAATAATTGTTCAGCTCTGGCTACCATGCTTTGAATAAAGTTAAAGAGAGTAATAACTGTTACTGAAAAATAGATGATTAAAATCATCCTGCATCGACAAGTACTTTTTAACTTTATTTTTGGTACTTTAAAAAAAAGAATTGGAAGCCAATCGCCCTTTATCACCTCTGGAGGCATATATACCAAGCGACACATCTACATCATAGGAGCGAGTAGTAACAGTTAAACACACTGTTTCCTTTCAGTTGTCAAAATTAAGATGAATTAATTAAAATTCTAAGTTGTATGATAGTTCTGAGAAAATTGAAGTTGCTACACGTACTTCACGACGGTGTGTGTACGCACGAATTTGAGACAGAAGATATTTCATTGAATCCTCCAAGCCAAACTTGGTCGACATTCAATTGCTTAACAGTGACAGACCCACTGTTACGATCGCCAATGAGGACTCTCTCAGAGCTAGCTCTGGGTCAAAATTCAGTTTGCCAAACCAAATTTTTTTTGCTATAAGCGCGCGAACAGATTCCGGAACTCGCCCTCACCCTCACCCGACGAGCCCTTAATTCCCTCATATAATAATAACACATATGCAAATTACATAATTACATTATTTATTCACTGTTTTAACAACAATACATCAAACATAATACAGTATATGGTAAAAGAGTTTATAAACATGGAATTATTACAGGCCTTCTGCATCTCGACAGTTTGCAGCAGAGAGTTCTCATCTGTAAAATTGAAAATAAAATTTAGAATAGAATTGGACATTTGCAGAGAGATACAGGATTACATTGAACCTTATTTTACACCATCAAAGTATTATACTTATTACAGTAACTTCTTAAGTAATATATATCTTAAAAACACTTCAGAGATAATAAAGACATAATCGTTAAACTAAAAGATTGTGTTTCTAATCCATGTGCCAAGCAGGCTGTAATGAGTAACTATATTGTACCATCCTCTAGGCATTTCTGAATTACTTAATCTAAATTTACATAATTTTCTGTTCATAAATGATGAATAGTTGTATATACCTGATCCTTTCTCATGCTTAACCAAGCACTCTTTCTTACTGCAGCCATCAGTGAAACTATTTCTAACTAATGCCTTCATACATATGTCACAAAACATGAGCATTTGCTCTGGGTCATATTTAAGCCATGGCCTGCCAATTTTCCAACTATCTAGAAACTTTCTTGAACTACTGCCCTTGTTAGTAACCTGATCAGGGCTGTCATTTTCCTTTTCAATAGATGGTGTCTTAAAACCAAATGATGACAATCTGGGTACTTTCCCATCCCTATCACTAAAGGGGAGTTTACGTTTTCCCATTTCATCTAACGATCTATCTTAGTGAAGGGCCAAATCTGATGTGACCAAAATATGTACAAAAATATAAAACAAAATCGGCAACATAGTGTAAAAACAACAAAATTATATCTTGTGTTTCTTGCTATTTTAATAGTCGATCAAAAAGATTAAGAAGCCTATTTCGGGCCCTTTCAAATACACTAGTTTACTAAGTTATGTCTGCAGAAATCACAAACTCGTGCCCAATTAACGACATCGACACACCTAATGATCCACCTACCGTAAGCCCATTCCCGATAAAACAACATCTTTCCTTCAGCTAACTTACCTTATTGTTCACGGCAGAGGCTATCTCGGATTAAGACAATGGAGACATCATTGGATAATTGGCGATTTTCAGTACAGGCGTGTTGCTGTTTAGACGGGTAAACGTTGCTGTCAAAACACAAAAGAGTTCCGATAGCTGACCTTGCCCCAGCTGCGGGAGTCAGTCAGCCGTGACCGTGTAGTACACAACGATGTCGGAGCAAAATTTACCTGTGTCACTCGTTACAAATAAGTTAAACGCCAGTGATTTTTCTCTATACAGTCATCGGTGACTGGAAATGTCTCTAATCGGCATTTTCGCCAATAGAAATTTGAAATCGCCAATCTCATTTCACTTTCGCCAATGGCGCCATTGGCGATCGCCAGCGCGAGACTCTGAAATGTCTGTAGTACCGACTTCGTTTCTTTTAATGAGAGTAATATAATGAGCGTGTCTGTCGTGTTTCTACACAAGCCATCGGTGACCGCTTACAAATAGTCGATAACTCATCCTAAAATAGCAATTACAGACAACAATTTCACATACACGTACCTGGCCATATTGGCAGCGAGAAACGCAATACGTGAAGTAAACGCGCATTGGACATTGCTGTGCCGTTACTCGGATCAGTTTTCGGTGAGACAGTTTGAAGTTCGGAATGGTTATAAGAATATATATTGTGACATATATGAGGTAATATGTAGGTCTCATGTAAAGTACGTCACCGAAGCCGACGTTTTAAGCTTGTAGATGCTGGCCATATATTTCAATAGCATGTTGTGTCAGAGCATGAACGTCGCCTCGGTAAAGGTTTCTGTAATAAATCTATATTAAAGAAGTAGATGTATTGCTTTTACATTTCGTCCTCTCCTGCGTTTAGCAGCTTAAACACAATTCACTTGTACGAGCTGGTTGATGAATGGGGGAACTTGTTCACTCACGTATATATGTTCATGATCATAATAAACAAGTTAAGACATTGAGCCGGTGGCGAGCTATCGTAGAATATCTTATATGAAATTTCGTTTTTATCACATAATATTATAAGGTGTGAAATTAGTACATACTCTACTGCATAAAACGTTTTAGCATTTGTTTATGACGTCATAAGTATAACTGGATCATCGATTGATTTGCTTTCGATTGATTTGTTTTGGACGACTTTGGATTTTAGATTTGAGTTATTAACTACACATACGTACTTTGCCTAGACTTGGACATTGTGAAATAGCTGCCTTCAACGCCAGACCTGCTGCTATTCCGACTTCGGCGATCAGATTGTGGCCACATGCATGTCCTATCCCCGGAAGTGCGTCATATTCACACAGGAATGCTACATGTGCTCCCTCAGAACATGGATCACCGTAAGTGGCTCTATACGCAGTTTCAAGAAAGTACTTTTTATCCACCCTTTCGAACCCATGATCCTCCAAAAATTTGGTTAACGTCTCATGTGCGAAAACTTCTTTATCCGCGGTTTCCGGGTGACTCCATATTTGTTGGCTTAGCTCGTTAAGATCCTCTGCTGCTTTGTCTATAGTTTGTTCGACGAGATGTTTCAACTGCTGGATTTCCATAATGCTGACCTGTCGGTGAACTAAAGCATGTTAAAATATTTCAGGTGATGTAACTTTATAGGGTATATCAAAAAGAGGTAAAGCCATACATAAATTACACCAATTTACATATCGTGTAAACGTTTATGAAGCGTAACTGTAGTTTGATACCACATGTGTATATATTGAAGGCATAATAAACGTATGTTGATAAGTCATTATTTGTCGGTAACACCATAGGATTTTTACAAATCTATATCCCTTTACTGTTTTGACATTTCTTAATGCCTATTCGACCGGTCCAGTTATGTTATGCGATCGTATGTGGTCATTACTTTGTCAGTGGGTGCCATTGAAGAGCACTTCTAACGGAGTATCCGTTTTTCTGTGAAAGTGTTGCCTACATTAGATTGACGTGATTTCATCACACTCTTTCCTATGTTGTCGAACTTACAGGTCTTCCTTGACTAGACGAGATGAAATGTCAACAACTGATCACAAATTAAAGATCAAGGTCTCGGGAGATGCTAGTTAATGAAATTGTGTCGGCAATTTCTTTATGATTTTTAGTCTCAATGAGTAACGCTCTCTTGGTCGAAGCAATGGAATTTATCAACGGATTATAAAGATACAACTATCCAAGTTTGTCAACGAAATGGCGCTACCGACTCTGCGAAAAGTACTTGTATATAGTGTAGCTTGTAAGCTGCATTCACCTACGGAGATAAGCATTCAATAATTTAGGTGTCATAGTTTTGCAGCGGAAAAAACCCCCATTGCAGATGTATATGGTGATGCAAACTCCTATCATCTAACCTAACAGCATAGAAAGCGATCTTTTGCTACATTTTATCTTGAGCAAATATGTATAAGTAGGTTGTGTGTCATACATACGTTTATCTTTGAACCAAATAATACATTTTGATCAGTACATATTTATCTAGTTTGTAACAGATAACCATCGACAGGTCAGCATTATGGAAATCCAACAGTTGAAACAAACAAATCTGTTCAAAAAGTGGAAACAGAATGAATCTAAGCAAACATTATTTTACTACGCACGCTGTAACGCGAATAAAATATTCTTTTCAGCTGGGTACTATAACAGAAACAATGTTTTCAGTTTAGATTTCTCGAAGATTACCATTTCACAGAATATCGCATGAAAACGCTCAACTGGTTGTTGTATGGATATAGAAATTGCAATTTTCGAAGGTATGGAAACAATAAACGGGAAAGAATCAACATAGGAAGAACAAGTATGTTAAAGTGCCTGTCCAGTCTACTTTCCAGTTGATGTAAAGAATATTTCCACTTGACATATTCAACTTGTAAAGCTATGTTGAGAAATCGCCATTCATGTTAGGAGTGATTCATTACTAATAGATCCGATGAAGTAATAACGAAGGACATATGCACACCTCAATTTGTTCATAAAAATGATAAAATGTGTATCATTCGTTTAAAAGAAAAATTGTAAAATAAAAGTGAACCTTGCAAAAGTGAAGCATACTTCACTTTTGAAAGCTATGAAAGCAATGAAAAGTGCCCGGCCGCTATCGGCCATCGTACATTTAGAAATCAAATAAACACTTAAAAAGGTGTTACACTCGCAGTAATGTTTTATGAATCATTTTGCTGTAAAATGAGATGTGAAACACCTGCGCCAGTCATCGTGACAGGATGTTAGATACCTAATAATAATAATAATCTCCTTTTAACACAGAGTATAACAATATTTTGGTTGATAGTTATATTTTAGATACATAGAATAATAAAGAACTGGATTTGGACCATATTATTGCCTCATCTACGTCTGCCGATGCGTTAAAGATAGCATATGTCACACGCGTCTACGTTGTGGGGGTAAAAACAAGCAAGAGAAATGTTCTTCCGTGCCTATCAATATTAAGTTTGTAGATGAATAATGCTATACATTACTTATAATGATACTTATATTGTCTGAATATATTTACTGGTGTTGATGGTAGTAGATCGCAGTTATCTTCAAACTGAATGCATTGGGTTAAATTAACTACTATCTATGCAACGTCACAGTTCCTACTTACAAAGGAGACTACCACTAAAAAGATCTATCTATCTTTGTTTGGTGGATAGTTCAGTGTAAAGAAATATCATATTTACTATTTCAAGCCTTTACTTATATCAGTATTACGGTGTTGATTGCTTAGATAAATTTCATAATCTAAATAATTAGTAACTATTAGATAAAGAAAATCCAACTGATTACGCATTGCATCAAATCAAGGTGATGAACTGCTGATGTATAGAAATACTAATAAGCCACACAAAGAAGCAAATCAGAATGCATGACAATATTTTTGTCATTGTGAAAAAGACTTAGTCAAGACCTGACGGAGAATTATTTGACGATACGTTATCCTGGACCGCTCAGTACACAGATTGGGCAACCTAACAGGTCATGGTCTAGTTTCTCTATGAATATTGTTTACATTTGAAATTCTTAGCGTGTCATACGTTGATACAGTACGAAACAACAGGATCATCCGGATTTCTTACTTGGCCAGACCCAAACACAAGATTTACACGAATCCGCCTTGATTGAATTAAAATGTATGTTTCACTTTGAAAACAATATTGACGAGAAACAAGAACAGGAAGAAATAACATTTTATACAGTATTAATAGTTCGATACCTACATTGTGCACTATTACAAATAACATTCATAAAATCACATTGTTTAGCCCTTTGATCAAAATGTTTTAATACCTAAACTTGAAACACATGGTCGACTACCTTTTCCCAGGGAGAGCAACATATTTATATTGCCTGGTCCAGATAATCAGAGGCAGACTCAGAGTACACCAGCAATCTGTCTAGCTTATCCCTAACAAGTGATATCGGCCAAAGAAAGAGGTCCCTGATTGGTATGCCGGGGCTAATCCTCAGCCACAGCTGGTCCAAATACAAGTATTGGTCAGACTTCATCTTCCGGATTGATTAGCGCAGTGGTAAGTGATTGTTTCAAATACAGACAAATGTTTGTATTGCGACAATAGTGATTTATGTGTGTATTATCACACAAAATGTCCTTCTCCATTTCGTTTAAGCATTCATCACTTAACAGTTGTCATCAGGTTCTGAACTCTCCTCTAATTAGTTTTGTATTCATAGTATGAAGCCCTATACGCCGATTGTACTATATTTAGAGGTTTTTAGGCCTTGATACTATATTTTGATGATTTAAATCCCGCTATCCATCGAAAATCCATTTCAATATTTTATTTAATGGTCTCTGGTATTTAAATGCAAAGAAAAACAAGATAAAAGATGAAGACAAAATAGGCTTTTCTTATCATCACAATATTTTCTTCAAATAAGAAACTTTCACGACAATCTATTTTATTGGTAAGTTATTATATTGCCCCGCTAATTGTCCCGCTTAATGCTCTTTTGTATGTTTTTCCCTACCAGTAAAATCAAATACAAAAATGATAAAAAAAGTAGAATGCTCATTCTTCCATTGATTCGATAATCGAAGTACATTATTGTTTCATCGGACATCTAGGGTGCAAGTGAGACCTAAAACTTTGTTAATTAATTCATTTTGATTTTTTAAGTTTCATTTTCATTTTTAAAATCTGATTTAACTAGACGACTTTTAAAACAAATCAAGAGAATCAGACAGGGTATGCAAGAAGGATCTGTTTCATCCCCGACACACGCTACGTTAAACCCGGACAAACTAGAATCTAGAAACATTACGTTTGAAATAGTAACATTGCAAATCTAATCTACTTGTGAGCATCGAATACGCCGAAGAAGATACAGGAAGAAAAAGAATTAATGAAGCTGGCAACCATAAAACATCTCCGTGATCCTAATCGACGTTCATCCCTTAATTCTATCTTAGCCTTGGCATTTCATGTTTTTAGCTAGTGATCTGTCAAGGGAATTCCGATATTTTAAAAGAAGCCCTTGAATATTGAATCATCTGTTACGCATTTATTTAGTATGGTAGTGAAGCTGGCTAAGTGTGGTTAAGTGTCACAAAGCTTAATTGATAATAATATGATTTTCTGTTTCATATTTATGGAAAGTGTGACAGAACAGGGAAAATACATATTCCCGTCGAACGCCCCGACAAGGAATCGAACCCGAGTCTATGGCGTGATAATCGACAGGCTCTATCAACTGCGCCAAAGAAGCATGTTCCGTCAGCTGAGTGACATAGACCGTATTTTACACTATATACAAGCCACATCGACCCGTTCCTTATACATTTTTTATTGTCCACGAGGGAGTCGGAAATCACGTGAGTTTAATGTTCGCCATCATCATAACATCAGGAGAATATTATATACAATAATGTAAATTTCAACGTTTTGAATTTATCATTCTCGATTTATATCATCTTTTTCCAGAATATATCACTGCGGTTGTCGTTCACGTCTCTCCATACAAACCTTCTGGAATTGTTCCCAAAGATTCACCGTATAGTCCTTATTTCATTTTAACTTTTATCTGTGTGCTTTCGTGTTGACTTCATAACATTTCTGGTGCCAATCTCTACCAGAGTTGTCGTTCCTTATTCTCACATAACACCCATTTTAACGATTTAAAGACAATTACATTTGACATTTATATACAAATAGATCCACATTTGACAAAGAATTATATTGGAATAATGGATCTCAACTCGTGGGGAAAGATTCTTCATTTGGCAAACACGTGGCTCGCAGAGTGATTACCAAAAGAATAGCCTTTCCCCGAGGGTTGAGAACACCCACTCACTTAAGATTACTTGGTATTTCACACTCAATGCGGTGAATGCTTATATGTTCTATTAGCTTTTTGGTGTCCTTTGAGGTTATGATGTTTGACATTGCTGACGTTGCGGTATTGAATAGTTGACGCGACATTACCGAACTGTTGACGGGACGACTTCACATGTAATTTTTGTTAAGACCAGGGAATCCCTCATCTCGCCCTAGGTTATGGCAAGTAAGTTTCGCTCCAATAAAAGCGGGTATACACC